GGCGTGCGCGGGGGCGTGCGGGGCACGCGAAGGGCGCGAACGCTTCTTGGAAAAGGGCAGCACGACAGCGGAGTGCGCGGTGGACGCGGAGGGGCGCGGCGGGGCGCTACCCCCCGCGGCGCGGGGTGGCCGCGTCATGGTCAAGCTGAGGACAGCGCGCCGCTCTGTGCTGTCCCTGTCGCACTCACAGGGCGCTCCGTAGCGGTGCGCAGTGCGAGAGAGACAGAGAACCGAAAGCACAGCCCGCCCACTTCTCGCTCGACTCGACCCCCGCCGCCCTTGCTTGACAATGTATTATTGAGCCGGCCGTCGTCCGCCCTGCCCTGCCGTCCGCTTCATAGAAGTTCCTCGAAGAAGCGGAGGCAGCTCGGCGAGACGGCCAGGACTACAACAACACGGGAGGGGACCGGAGAGGCCCGAACACACTCACCCTTCTCGAGATTTTTATTGTATCGACGGGACGAGGGGCACGGGGCGAGTTGCGCGGCTGCGCGGCGCCGGAGAGACCCGAGCAAAATCCCCCTCCCCTCCTTGCGGACTCAGGCAGACGACGCCTCGTCGCGCGAATGTATTCAGACGGACCGTGTCTGGAGAACTGGGTTATGAGATGGGGCTGCGGGGCACTGCGGGGCTGCGGCAACTCATAGGCATGCACGGGGGCCCCGTCCTGTTTACCCCCTTGGCCGAACCCCCCGCCGCCCCTCGCCACCTGTTTGCTCGACCCGCACAGCCCGCGCCCCGCGCCCGTGTACACACATAGCGCCCCCCCCCCCCCCTCCGGCCGCCGCGGAGTGCTTTTTCCACCGCGGAAGCGGCGGAAGTCGTGGCGGCCACGATGACGGTGCAGAGCAGCCGCCGCGAACACCGAGGAGCGCGACGCGGTGCTGGCGGTGGACGCGGACCTCGCGGCCGCGGCGTTGCAGCTGCCGACGGCGCCCCGGCCCGGCCCGGCTGCACCACCACCACGGCGGCGACTGCGGCGCGGGAGAAAGTCGTGCATAATTCATTCAAGGAAGCAGGGGAAAGAAACGCGTCCCCCAGGGCACGTGGCGCGAGGCACGTGCTTGCCAGTGTGCCAGCGCCGCCAGCGGTGCGCAGGGAGGGCTCGGTTTTCACCAGGGCGGCGATCGAAGGCTTCCCTTCTCAACACCCCACGGCCCTACGGCCCCACGGAGCGAGGGGACCTGCGTGCACTGCGTGCCCCGGCCACGCCGCCACGCCGCTCGGTGCAGATCACAGACCACATAAATTCATTCTCAACGAGGCGGGGCGGACGCTTGACCTCCTGGTCGCCACGCCGCCACGCCTCATCCCAAGGCCCTACTGATGCACTGGGATGGATGAGATGAGATCATCGGCGGCCGAGCCGAGCGACGCTCAGCAATCCGCGGCTTCGGCCGGCGGCCGGCTTCGCCAAGCGCCAAGCAGTGCAGTGCTCCGCAGTGAGAGAGGGAGAGAGGCCGGAAGCCGCGTCGCCACAGTGACCAGCTGAGCGATTCCGAAGAGTCGTTTCGTCGCTCTGTCTCTCTCGCACTCATGGGGCACTCCGTAAGGGTGCGAGAGAGACAGAGCGACAAAGCGATCTTCTGAATCACTCGGCTGGCAGCGCCGCCTGCTGCAGTCCGGAAAGGGGAGGGGGGGGCGTTGTGCCAGCCGCGCGACACTGCACCGCGACACTGCGCGCTGACGACCTAATCCGGCGGTAATTAATCAGCCTCCTTCCGTGCCGATCGCATCGCCGCCAATCGCAGTGCAGTGGCAGCGCGCCAGGCTCGCTACAGTCCGTCCGCGGCAAGCGCGCCGCGCCGCCGCCGTGACTCTACCGTGACCCGGCCGGCATTGGCCGTGACGCACGCGGCGCGTACCGCGGACGGACTGTAGCGCTGCAGCGAGCGGCTGCCATGCTGCCATTGACCGTGGCGGCACGGCGGCGAGGTGCAGGCCAGTCAGGGCAGCGGCCCGGTGCCGTCCGTTGTTGCCGCGCGGACGGGCTGTACCGCGGGGGGCCTTGGACCGCACTTAGATAAGCGAGATGAAGAGGCTGTGACGCCCCGCCCCGCCCCGCCCCGCCCCGCCCCGCCCCGCCCCCCCGCCCCGCCCGGCCGATGCGTCGTGCGACAGTGTTGTGTCCCGACGCGCTGATAAAGGGGGAGGGACTCGAGCCGTTGCCGCTGTTTTCCTGATCGCGTATCTTCGGTGTTTGTACGAACTCCCCCGCGGCTGTAAAGGGGAAAGGGGGGGGGGACTGAAGGAGAGCAAGACGCACTCTGTATACACCCACACAAACGCATACATCGTGCCCACGCCGCACGTGCACACGCACACACGCGCACACACACGCGGACAAATATAGTTTGTACACACGAGGCTCTTGCACCTCAGCAACTTTCCCGAGAAGTGTCGGCTGGGGTCGGGAGGGCCGGCTTGGGCTTGGGCGGAGCGGACGTGGGGCAGTGTCCGGGCAGTGCGGCCGGCCTACGTGGACAAGTGTGCCTACGTCCCGGCGTCCTGGACTGAGGACCGTGGCCACTCGGCCCCTCGCGTTCCCACTTCCCTCGCATGTGCCCAGGCCAGTCCACTCTTCTACGCATACGCATCCACCCCGGGTCTCTCCTCTCGGGCACAAGAAAAACCGCGAGAAACCACTTATGGATGCTCGGCAACCTACGCGTTAGGTCCGGACCATCCGGGCGCAAGCACACAAGGTATGTTCCCGCCCGCCATGCCACACCACGTGCCCTGCCTCACGCCCGCACGCCGACACACCCCTCCACGTAATCTTCAGCACCTCATCGCCGACGGCTGCCCCTGTCGTCAATCTTCCGGCCGCCCCGGCTACCTCGACGCCGCGGCCTTCGTGTCGCCAAACTTGCGAGTGTCTGCAGGACGCGTCCGCGTGTTCCATCATCCGGCCGCGGTCAGGACCGTCAGGACATCCGTCTTCCTGCACCCGTGTCCACGCGCTGAGCCCCCAAGAGCCCAACGGGCCACATCCTGTTGGCAGTGGATCCCGCCGTCGTGCTCAGAGCAGTCGGAGAAAAAGTGGCCCGCGGTGTGGTATACGAACCGCCCACCACCACCGCCACACGGTCCTTCCCTCCGTACTCACCAGTCAGGGGCATGGAAGAGGGATCCGATTGGCTCCGCTGTGGCGCGCGCGCTTTCCCACTGATTGTCACATTCACTGCACTAAGTGGCCGCCACTTGGTTGGCCGGCGCCAGCACCTCGTCCGGGATGGCCGGTACGGCCGGGACGGCCACTAGGGTGGCCCGCCCCCTGTGAGGACCTCGGCCAGCACGGCCAGCACCTCGGGCGGGGCGACGACGCGATTGGCCGTGACCCCGGCCGTGTCTGCGGCGGCGATGCGATGCGACGCGATGCAGTCCGTGCCACAGGCAGCCACAGGTGGCGCGTCCGTTCGAACGGGGAGGAGCACCAGGGCCGGCGCGGCGCAGCCTGGCGCAGCAGCACAACAAGCACGGCGTCAGGGCGCAGAACGCGGCGCCGACACAAACACGCGCTGCTTGGAGAGCTCGGCGAGTGAGGCGAGGCGGTGTAGCTCGCGGTGAGAGGGCGACTGGCGCGACTGGCGCGGCGGGGGGCTTCGTGTGGGGCTTCGGGCCGTCGGTGGCCGTCGGTCAGCGCGGGGCGCGGGCGCGGCTGTCCGGTCGGTCCCCGGCGCGGTCCCTGGGCTGGGACTCTGGGACCAGAGCGACCAGAGGCAGGGACCCCAGCGGCGGCGCGACGCCTCGGCGGGCAGCCTCGGCAGCCGGCACTTGGCGCTGCGCGTGGCGCGCGGTCGGCTCAGCACGCGGTGCGGTACGGCGCGGTACACGGCGCGACGCCAGCACGTCGAGTCGCGGGGAGCGGCGTGGCGTAGTGGTTCACTGCTTCGCTGGTCGCTTGCCGTTGCCCGCGCGCCTAGCGCCCCGCCGGTAAGGGGCCCGCCGCCCGCCGTACACAGTGGCGAAGGGGTGGGGGCGCCCCGCCAGCCCCGCCAGCCCCGCCAGCCCCGCCAGGCTACGCGCCGCCCCCCCAGGCCACCCCCAGGCCGCCCCGCGCTACGCCGTGGGCTGGCGGCCTGGCGGCCTGGCGGGGGCTCGTAAGGGGTGGGCCAGGGTGGGCAGGGAATGTAAGCCGAGCAGAGCAACGCCATCTGTTGTCGGACGGGGGACAGCGCGATCAATACGAGCCCTAAGCCCCACAACCCCCTGCGCGTTGGGCCTGCGGCACCCTCGGCCAGCCTAGGCCAGCCTGGGGTCTGGCGGGGCCCTAAGGGTCGCAGGGCCGAGGTGGGCCCTCGGGGACACTGTCCCGAGCCACCCTCCATGTCCATGGCCCACCCTGGGGCCCACCCCGCCTCTGTTCGAAGGGACCAGTCGGTCCGTGGACTGGCTGCGCTGGCTGCCGTTGCAAAGGGTGTCGTTGGATTGCACCATCCCAACTCCCAACAATGGGCTTCCGTTTCAAAGCGATCGGCGCCTTGTTTCGGCACTTTTCCACTTTTCTCGAAGAGACAACAATGCTCCGCAACCTGGTTAAAAAATGTTGAAAACTAAACCAAGCGCCACCACTGCCACCAAAACACTAATAACGAGGAACACGTTTTGGTGTTTCCTTCCGATTCTTGTGCAACTCACAGGAAATGCCGCGTTATATCGTGAACCTGTACGATTTCTCTCCAGTATCACTTAAAACTGGCGTTTTACTGAAGTTATTTTAACTTCACAGGGAAGCACCACCAAAGTTTGGCTTTCGCCTCTCGCTTGCTCGACGTTTACATCATTTGCCAGCAGTTCGAGGACATCCTGTACACATCCATTTTCGAAACGGTCAAACATCCTCCCAGGGTCTGGCGTGTTAAAAACAGTTAAAAGTGGGCAAAAGTATGCGTAGAACAGTTGTTTTGGCGTTTTGGCTTTGGCGCCGACAACGCAATATTTGAGCGAGAAATTTTTCATACTGTCGCGTTGTAGCCGCCGGTGCCTGCTCGAAAGCTAGTAAACAGCCCTAACCTCCAAAAGCAGATTGGTGTGTGAACGGGGTTTGATGCGCGCGGTACGCGGGAAAGTAGTGGTGTGAAAATAGCGTTCCGTGTTCAATCTTGTTAAAGTGATTGATTTGATTGCTTCTGCCTCTAGCTGGTACTTATTCCTCTGTGTAGTTTCAATTTGATACTTCTGTGGCTGCTGGAATAGATAACGACAAACGTTTGTTGTGAAAACTTCATGTACAGTCAACGCACTTGTATCGTTGAGATACTTTCCGAGCAAAGCACAAAATGTCTGCCAAGATAGTTTTACCTCGCTGTAAGTATTTTTTGCTGTCGTTTGTCAATCAAATATATCGATATCTAGACGGGCGCTTGCTCCCTTCAACATGACGCAACAGTCACGGCAGTTTCAGCGACACTGAACACCATGCCTATATCCGCCGATACCATGTTTTGAAAGTCACATGCAGTAAACAACAACATTCAAGTCAAAGTCGTTCAATTTTTAGTTTTTTTTCAGTTCTGGTGCGTCACTTGCGCTCTCCATTTCGCCCCCTAAAGCATTATTAGCATGCCGGCCGACCCTAGTTGGATGGTTTAGCGCGCAATGCTAATTTTGTGTCTTAACCTAGCAAAGCTCAATCGTGTAAGCATGATTGTTTCTTTTTTGATGAGACGAATAGATTTAGTTCGATAAGCTGTCAACCCTCATTCCGAAAGAAACGCCTTTTGCTGGTTTGATGGTGTTCTTCGTTCTTGTCCAATTATTGTTTCTATATGTGCAGCATTTTATGAAGTGCTGCTTGTTTCAAGTCCAAGGAAGATCACCCTTTCCCCCTCTGCATTTGGTATTATAATATACTTGTGACTCTAATTTCTTCTGCTTATTCTTCTCTCAGGCCTTTCTTGGCGTTTTATTAGGAACAGCAAAATGACAATTTTATGCCCATGATTAATTGATGAAGTTTTGTTGGAGGAGCCATTTTATCTAGCATTGTTGTTAGGCTTCTCCCAGCCGCATCCCAACACACTTGAAGTAGCTTTTCTAAATTAACGTTGTGTTCTTGCGTAAAACTTATCATACACCCGTTGAAAATGAAAAGTTCTCTTTGTTCCCAATTCTTCTCTTTTTGCCCTTCGGTATATGATGTGTTTTAGCCAAGCACCGCTTACAACCTGTTGTCATAGCAATTTTTTATTATTTTTATTTTTTTGTTAATTTCTGCTTTTGTGCTTTAGTTTCTTTTTGCGTTGTATTTCCTCCTCTTTCATACTACTTTGGTTCTGTTATTTTAGGTGTGCTGACATATATCCTTTGAAAATATAATTGCTGACGGACAAATCTGTTATCATTGAGCTTTTCCAAAGCTTACATTATGGATGTGGATATAGATGCCAAGATTCGTGAGGGTGAGCTGAATTCTGACAGCTCTAAAATTGAAGAAGGAGAAGGAGATGTTTCCATGAATGACAGTAATAGCTTGAATAACTCACAAAGTGACGAGGGTGATGTATTGCCTAAAGAAGATGACATGAATACCTCAACCCAATGTACCACAAGTTCTGAAAAAGCTATTATTGATGGCGATTCTGAGGCTTCAGGAGATTTAAATAATATTGACAATGCTAATCCCAATGTCAACCCTGATGGGTCTGAACTAAAGGAAACATCCCATGCAGACTCAAATGGTGCAGTTGAGGGTCACCAAACTTCAGAAAGTACTGTTGAAAATAGCTCAGCCCCAGCCAGCTCAAAAAAACGCAGACGATCAAGTGCCCTGCAAAGGTTAGGTGTTGGTAGTCCTGAAGTAATCAATCGAAGCTCTGGCAGAACTCGAAAGCCAAAGGTACACCATACCAATATGTGTTCTTGAAAAGTGGTTTTCTTTATGCCTGTTTACTTATCATTTCCTTTCTCCCACATTTTTCAGCCTGACACTGAAGATTTCCTTCCCACTGATGCTGTTTTGGGGAAATCCCCCAAAAAAGTGAAAAAGAGCATTGATATTGTGCCTAGTCCTGAACCCATGACAAAACCAGCCAATGGATCTTTAGAAGATTCTGTTACTGAAGAAAATGGAGCTGAAGAAAATGGGACTGAAGAAAATGGATCTAGTGATTTAACCAATGACCTAAAAGCACCTGTTGAGAGTGTGGCAGTATCAGAAGCAGTTGATGGAGGACCTGTGGTAAAGTATGAACCAGGTGATCTTCTCTGGGGCAGATTAGGTCACTATCCATTTTGGCCATGTATCATTATTCATGATCCAGTAGAACCCATTTTTTACAAAAAAGATGGTGAGTTTTTGAAAATATTTCCTTTTTCTGTTGACCTTTTCTGAATTTTAAAATACTAATAAATCCATTTCCGTATTCAATTTATAGGACGAGGTCGTTTGACTTATCATGTTTTATTCTATGGAGACAATGGCAAAAGAAGCTGGGTTGCTTCTACTTTGGTTTTGCAGTTTTTGGGTCTTCAAGACTTTGAGAGGCAAGCTGCTGCTGTTACTAGTGACATGAAGAAGAAAGACCCCAAGTTCTATCCCGGGTTTGTTATCAAACCTTTCTTGAAGGCCAAGTGGAACATTGCAGTGCGTGAAGCTGAAGATGTAATGACTTTGACAAGGTAATTTAATTCGAATTTTTTAAATCAACTTATTTCCTTAAGTAACAATGATTGTCACTTCATTTTCTCCTTGTCAATCCAATTGGTAACTTTTTATTATGTTTCTATAATTTGTATTTTCTCTAGAGATGAGAGGATGGATGCTTTCTTAGAGACCATGCCTCAAAGGAAAGGCAGAAAGTCTAAGGTCTTTGAAGATGACCAAGGAGCTGATGAAAAAAATGTAGATGCCTCAGCTAAAGAGGGCAGTGCAGAGAGTGAATTGTCTCAAAGTCCGACTCCAGGCAAGAAGAAGAAATTAGCTCCTAAACCTGAATCACCTTCAACTGAAAAGAAAAAGCGAGGGCGCCCAAGAAAAATTCAAGAGAACCCTGATGAATTGGAAGCAGGTACTCCAGAACCTGTTGCTAAGAGTACTCCAGGCCCTGGAAGAGGCCGCAAAAGGAAACTTCAGATAGATGCTGAAACAATTCAGGTATGTTTTTTTTTTTTTTAATATACCATGCTTAAAATTTAAATGTTTTTTGTACACTACCCTGCCTATTATGTAGATGTCAGGTGGCTGTGCAGGGCTTGTCTTGGAAATGTTTCTTAACTTATGTTTGATGATATCTTTTATTCAGAGTTCTAAGGATGATCCAAGCTTTAAAATTGGATCAAAGAGGAAGAGAAAGAAGAAAAAGGATAAGAAAGCTAAAGAAGATAAAGCTTTTAGCATTTTCTCTGAGAAACACTTGGATCGTCTCCGTGATGATCAACCAGATTGGTCAGAAGAAGACGCTTTGAAATGTTTATCTCTTCTTTGGGATCAGAAAGATGAGGAAGAAAAAATGGAGTATGTAGTTAAAATGTTCAAAAGAATGTTTACCTAAATTATTTTAAAGCCAATTCTGATCCATTCCTCTCTGCTATTTCAGCTTCATCCGTTTAGTGGCCTCAGATGATGTGTCTGAAGAAGAATCTGAATCTGAAGATGAAGAAATTGAGAAAGAAGATGACAGTGAGCAAGATGACACTGTTGAGGAGGAAGTTGCTACTGTTCAATCTGCCAATGCTGCGAAGGAGTCAGATGATGACGACCCAATTTTGTCAATACTTAATAAAAAGATTAACCTGTTCAAAGGATACAGGATGGAACGAGTTTGTCAAGGCTGTGAAAAGCCAGGTAAAACTGTCAAGTGCCGTGGACCTTGTGCTGGGGTGTTCCACATAGAATGTGCCCGTGGAGCAGATAATTGTGTAGGTCAATTCAGTTTGGTTGAAGATGCAGAGATCAAACCTAAGAAACGTGGCAGGAAGAAGAAAGAATTGGCATTGGAAACTAATGATGTAATAGAAACTCCCAAGACTAAAGCTAATTCTCGCCACAAGAAGATTTATGCTGATGAGGAAACTGATAGCGATTTGGATTATGCTGATGGAGAGGCTTTGCCTGAAGTCTGTGACGAAGAGGCCGTCATGCGTATGATTTTGGGAAATGCCGCAGAACTACCGGAGGTGTCCTTTGTGAATCATTCACAGAGTGAGAGTGAAGTGGAGGATGAAGATAATATGGAAGACAATACTGAATTGTCAGATGGCCCATCCTCCACAAATGTAGCCAATATTACAGATTTTCGCTGTGGTGATTGTGCTGTATCAAGAACTCCCCTGTGCTATGCCTGTGGACAAGCTTCTGTTCCATCTGGAGAAGACAGTGTCCGAGTTCGCTGCTCTGTTGGTCAGTATTCTTCCAATTTACTTCTATTGGTATCTCAATTGAAAACCCTTGTGATTCATCAATTAAAATGTGTAATTATTAATTCCAGCTCACTGTGGGAAACACTATCACATTGAGTGCCTGAAAGTTCAATGGCCTCAGACAATTTACAACCTCAACAAGGGTGTTGTTCATAACATAACCTGCCCTCAACATGTATGCCACACATGTGTATCAGACAACCCCAGGGACAACAAAGGCCGATTTGTACATGAGAAGTTAGTGCGGTGCATTCGATGCCCTACGTCCTACCATTATGGTATGTTGCCTTGCTTTCTAATGTTTTCAACATTTATATGCAGGGTAATCAAAATAATTTCCAATCTTGTGTTTTCTTAGGTAATTATTGTGTTCCTGCTGGTAGTAAAATTTTAACTGCAACACAAATAATTTGTCCAAGGCACTATGAACCACCTAAGAAAGGGAATCATCACATTAATGCGTCTTGGTGTTTCATCTGCTCCGTTGGTAATTTCTTTTGGAAATCATCCTTTGTCACCACCACACCACCAATAGTGGGCTGCAACACTAATCCTGTCTACTTTGCAGGTGGTTCTTTGATCTGTTGTGATCTCTGCCCTACATCCTTCCATGTTGATTGCCTTAAGATCAAACCACCTACCGGGGATTACATTTGTGAGGACTGTGAAACTGGTAGATATCCATTGTACAATGAAGTTCTTTGGGTGAAACTTGGTCACTACCGGTGAGTAGTTGTTTATCTTCCGCCTCTCTTTGTTCACAATTATTTTCTTTTAAATAGCAGTCTGTATATAATTTCTCTTTTATTATCAGGTGGTGGCCAGCTTTGTCCCTGTTTCCTACTGAGATCCCTGACAATGTGGAAAATCTTCCGCACAGAATGGGTGAATTTGTTGTCCGCTTTTTGGGAACTAATGACCATTATTGGATAGAACGAGGACGCTGTTTCATGTACCATGAAGGGGTAGGTCTTGTTGAAAAGCTTTATGTACATCTCATTCATTTTATTTTTCATACTCATCAACAATTAACTTCCTCTTTCTGTGTGATTTATTTATTTATATCTCAGGACTGTGTGGGAGAGAAAAAGACCACCAATAAATCAAACATGGAAAAACTTTATCAAAAGGGAGTACTTCAAGCAAATGAATTGCACAAAGATCACAAAGAATTGCGAAAAAAGATTCAGTCTCAGGTTAAAATTGCACCACCATTGGTGAGAAGTTTTTAATGTTTTCTTTTTATCAGCTTTATTTACTTATATTACAATGACAAGTGTATTGATATGTTGTGTGTTGTTTCTATTTGCTGCAGAAACCTCCTCAATATGTGAAGATCAGAGTGAACAAAGCTGTGGGCAATGTCAAAATTGTTGAAGTGGACACATCTACTATTTCTCCCTGTGAATGCAACCCAAATTCAGATCATCCCTGTAGTCCAGATTCTGAATGTCTTAACAGGTCAGTTGAATAAATGTATTCTTGTCACCTTAAGCTTTGGTTCTACTTATCATAACTAATTTATTTCTATAGGATCTTGATGGTTGAATGCGATCCCAACACTTGTCCGGCTGGAGAGAAGTGTGAAAATCAATACTTTGAGAAACGTATTTATCCATCTCTTGCGCCTTGCTTCACTGATGGAAGGGGTTGGGGCCTAAAGATCTTAGAAGACATTCCTAAAGGTATGGGATTGTTTTTGCTCCAAGCGTAGCTTATGATATGAGCCCTTGCATGAGACAGGATCCTTATTTGTTTCTCCTTGTTTTAGGCACCTTTGTAATAGAATATGTTGGAGAAGTGATTGATGATGAGGAGTATCAGAAGAGGCTGCTCAAGAAGCATGAAGAGAAAGATGAAAACTACTACTTCCTTACCATTGACAGCACACGAATTATCGATGCTGGTCCCAAGGGAAATGTCTCAAGGTTGGTTGATCAGTGATTTACTTACAGGTTTCTCTTATTACCTATCTTTGTTTTACAAATAATTTTCTTTCAGATTTATGAACCACTCATGTCAGCCTAACTGTGAAACTCAAAAGTGGACTGTTATGGGAGACACAAGAGTTGGCCTCTTTTCTCTTTGTGACATTCCTGCCGGCACAGAACTAACTTTTAACTACAATCTTGAGAGTAAAGGAAATGAAAAGAAACCTTGCATGTGTGGTGCACCCATTTGCTCCGGTTTCATTGGGGCAAAGAAAAATAAAGTGTGTATTTCATCCTTGTTGTTTGCAACTCCTAACCTTTTTTTAAAATCAAAACTCCATCTTGAAAGTTTTATTTTTTCTCTCTCTTTTAAATAGGCACCTCTGACAGATTCCAAAGAACCATCATCAGGAAAGAAGAAACGAAGAAGACCAAGAGTTCGTAATTTTATTGAAGATATTTGCATGCTTTGTGATGCTGGGAAAGAAGTTGCAGCATTGGTGTCCTGTATCAATAAGGAATGTGCTTCCAAGTATCACTTGGCTTGTCTTGGACTTGCATCTCATCCTCTAGGTATATTAAATTTTCATAGCATTTTAAAATTGTTAAACTTTGTTATTTCATCAAGGTTTTTTTTTTTTTTTAATCCTGTGTTTCTGACTAATCTCTTTCGTTTTTCACATTTAGGCAAGTGGCTTTGTCCTCGACATCAATGTAATGTTTGCCAGAAACGAACTCAACAATGGTGCAGTTACTGCACAGAGTCTTACTGCCCCGCTCATTACGAAGACAATTTGGTTAATGATCCTCTTCATGGTCATATTTGTGAAGTTCATCAAAAGGTAATTTAAAATTGTTGATGATAACATTGTAATTGTGCTTTCTGTTTTTCATGTGTTGGTCTAATTCTTCCTCCTTTTGTTTTTTTAAGAACCCACTTTCTAAAGATCACCTGAAGACTAAGCGCGATGAACAACGGAAGCTGATGGAGGAAGAAAAGAGGAAGGTGGATGAAGAGAAGAAGAGACAGTATGAAGAGGAGCGAGCCCGACGTCGCAGTCGCAGAGCACTAATTTCCAATGAGGAGGAGACTGTGGATGATTCGTTCAGTGAAGGTTCAGCTCTGGGAGATAATGATATTCCTCTAGATGTTAAAAGAGATTCAACTGATGAAAAGGTGGATGACAAAGAAGTGTCTAAGGGGAAGAATGGGCAACTGAGAACATATTCTAAAGCTGACAACCAACCCTCCTCTGCCAAGAAGACACCCAAAGCCAAGGTTGCATCTGAAATTAAGGATGCCAGTCCAGTTCCCTCTCGAAGAGGCAGAAAGAAAAAGATCGTTCCTGTTGAAGATGATAGCCTCCATCTGACAGGGGAAAGTAACACGGTAGCACTTAAAAAGGAGCCTCAATCAATTGAAGATGACCTGAAGGAAATTAAAATGGAGCCAAATTCCGTTGAAGAATCTCAGATAAGTTCATCTCACAGTAATGATGCAGCAAAAGATGACATTCCTGATGCAGATCCAACCCTTGACAAATTCATTTTAGCTCCTTTACCCATGGATGATTCCCCTGAGAGTTTCTCCAAGAAGAAAAGGAAGAAATCGAATAGCCCTAAATCCATTGATAACGCTCCTCCTAATGAAGCTTCACCTAGTTCTGTAACAAAGAGGAAAAGGAAACCCCCTGTTCACAATATGGATTATGTTAATTCGCAGAGCTTAAACCTCAAGAGGTCTTATGGGGACTCAACACCTGATAGACCAAGCTCAATCAAAAAACTTTATCCAAAGAAGCCAAAAGAAACAAATTTTGATAAGAATGGATTGGTGGATGAACTTGAAGATATAGCTACAGGATTTGCATCTGATGATAGTCAAGAAAGCCCACAGATTAAATTTAAGAAGAGTGGAGGAAAAGGAAGACTGAGTCTAAATCATGTACGATCTCACACGGCAGACAGCACAACAGGTGATATACCTGACACTTTTTCCAAGGATAAAAATGGCCCTTATGTTTCTCCAAAGAAGTTAAAATCCCCTGTTACTCCCGCTACACATTTGTCACCTGGGAGTCCAGTAAAGTTGTCAGCTGCCAAAATATTTGCCATGCAAAGAGCAAAGGGGTTGAAAGTTATGCCTCCGAATCGGCGGCTCTCATCGGCCCGAGAGCAGGCTCTAGGATCCCGCTTAAGTGACGAAGCAGATGAAAGAGTGGAGAGGTCAGGAAAAGGCTTGAAGGTAATGAAGGGTCGTCGCTTTTCAGCTGAAAGCAACGCTGAGGATAAGAAAACAGAAAACTTGCATGGGGAAAGCCCTCAAAGCGGTGTTTCTAAAAAAGTTAGACCTGTTTTGTCCAAAGTGGAGGACAATGCTGTTAGTGTAGAAGATGATGTGGAAGATAAGACCTTGGAAAACGGCGTGTTACCACCTGCCAGACACCTTCAGTCTCACCCTATGCAGAGTCCACCAAGTAAGAGAATAAGAGAAGCTTCCCCCAAAAAGTCCACTATCGGTGTTTGTTCTCTGTGGAACCAAGATATATTGAATATTATGAAGTAAAATGTTACTCTTCGCTGTTGTAGTGTTAAGACCTTTTTTTCACTTAACTTAAAGAATTTTTTTAGTCATGAAGTTTCTAAAAGTACATTCTCTTAGTGTTTATAAGTTCCTCTATCAAATTTACAAGTACCTACTATTTGCATTTTGGTTTATGCGAGTGATTGCAAATTTTGAAGTTTCACAACGCCTATTAACATATTTTAATCTTTAGCCATTTCTATTGTGGCACTTTTAATGGTTAGTACAAGTACCCAAGTGATTTTTTTTTTTTGTCATTTTATTTCAAGAACTTGATTCTCATTCTACTATTTTACAAAATATTTTTAAATTAAACTAATGAAAGAGACTCGTTATGGGCTGAAGTGATTTGCTTTGTGTGATTTAGCATTTCCCCCTTTTTTGTTTGTCATTCCACCAAAGAATATGGTTGATGTAGATTATTTTAGTCAACAGAAATTTGTTACTTATCATTTCCTGGTGTTTGTTGTTTTACCTCTTAGCTTCTTAAGGCTGGCACACATTCCTGACATTGACAAGTGTTGGCCAAACTCACTCTTTGTTCTGCATTTCTCTGCTCCATGGCTTTGTGACTTCATTCTTTATCATTCCCTGTCCAAGTTATTTCACATATGTTCATATCTGGAAGTTTTATTTTTATGAAGTGCTTAGTATTAATAAAGATAAGGACAACTATTAAATGTTACCAAAAGAATGTGCCTATCGCCCTAATGGTTTGATTTTTTTATTCAAGTAACTTTTAAGAGGTAAGAAACTTTGCAAAGTATTGCCTCTGTCTGTACATAATACTTAGGTATTGCTGTCTGTACAATGAATGGCTTTACTGTGTACTCTATGTAATGTAACAAGGTTTTTGTTTTGTTGTTGGCTAAACATGAACTGATTTCTCATAATCTCTTGTCATGTTGGTTTTAAAAAGAAACCTTAGCAGTATTCTCAGGTACTTGAAATTGTTAAATTTAAATCAAATCAGATGAATATTTTTAACCTTGGGACATGCATCAATGCCATGTGCACAATGTTTAAACAAATCAGTTGATAAAATGTATTGATTTCTGAACCAATTATTTATTTGATTTGTTTTATGTCTGGTCATGACAATAGATTTTTACAAATAGTTGTTGCCTTATGTATTCAGCAAATAAATAAACTCATGAAATGTATGTTGGATTTTTTTTTGTTTCTTTGCCCATGTTTCCTCACATCACTCTCTAGTGTACAAAATTCATAATTTCATTAAAAAAGTGGTTTTTCCTTAAGTAGACTACACTATATCACAGATGAGGATGGCGCCACGTCTTGGTTGGCACGGCACTAACGATGCGGTTCCAGGCTCCAGCGAGGTGGAGGTGGACGCGGTACACTGTCCACACTACACGGAGTCAAGCAGCCTGTAGGCGTCGCAGATGTCCACGCCGCTGCGCCTCAGGTTGTGCCAGATAGCGGCCTCCACGACCCCCGTGGAGCGCACGAAGTCGACGGCCAGGGTGTTGATGAGCTCGCCCCAGGGCCCCTCGGCCCAGGACGTGACGTTGCGGTTGATCTGGTGCGCCAGGCGGCGCAGCGACCCCGTGGGGTTGGACGCGATGAGGCGCGCGTTGGGCGTGAGCTCGGCCATGAGCGCCCACGCGAAGCCCCGGATGTACTGCTGCGACATGATGGTGGACGCGTACCGCGTGAGCTGCTCGGCCGTCTGCGCGTCGCCCCAGAACTGGCGCACGGCGGGCCACAGCTTGCGCGACGCGGGCAGCACGTCCTCCTTGTCGTACGCCACGATGAGGCGCCGCCCCGACGACCAGATGTCCTCCAGGCGCGAGCCCCAGCCCTGGCCGTGGTCCCGGTACGCCATCATCTCGCCCAGCTCCGTCTCCAGCAGGTGCACCAGCTTGAGGTGCACCTTGTTGTCCTTGCCGAAGCCTGCAAGCACGACCATGACGAGTCAAAGAGGCACAAGGCTCACGCGTTCGATGCCCGATCGCAACCCACCTGCGGGGAAGTTCTGGACGTCCAGGATGACGATCTCGTCGGTGTTGCCCACGAAGGCCTTGATGTCCGACAGCACGCCTTGCAGGGGCTGCATGCGCACCACGCCGTGGTTGGCCCACCACTGCTTGTCCTTGCTGGAGTAGAAGCCGACGCGCAGGTCGATGTACCGAACGCCGTAGATGAGCTGGCCGAGGATGCTCTCGTCCTGTCGATGGGAAAAGAGGAAGCTTGTCTCTTTCTCACTTGCACTGGGCCGCCTGGAAGGTCAGATCAGGAACGTGCCGGTTACCTGCGTCACGGTGTATCTGTCGATGATGTTCTGCCGGCCGTCCTCCTGCACGGAGGCCGAGTCGTGCGTGCCGGGGATGAACAGGTCCACCAGCCGCAGGCGGCCCAGCTCGGCGCGGAAGTCCGCCATCCAGGTGGGCCTGGTGCGCAGGCACGTCACCGCCAGCACTGCAAGCAGGCAAGCACGTTGGCGTTGGGTCCGGGTCGGTTTGGGTGCTTCTTTCTTAGTTCAGGGGTTGTCGTTAGACTGCCGAGCGATTCAGGAGATCTGTTTGTCGCCCTGTCTCTCTCGCTCCTATGCGGGGCGCCCCCAAGAGTGCGAGAGAGGCAGACGACGAAACGACTCTTCTGGCGTAACGGACTCTGCCGTGACTCACCGTCGCTCCTGTTGTCGCTGGGCCCGGCCAGCGGCCGCTCGTACGCGGCCCAGTAGCTGAGGCAGCGCGACGTGTAGCCGAGCTGCGAGGACGGCGTGTGCCTCTCCTGCACGTTGGTGGCCCGCCAGCCGCTCGGCATGCCGTCCGTGGACACCACGGCCAGCGGGGGACCGTCCTCGACTCGGTCCTCGAGGACGCCGTCAGCCGCCCGCCGCGCGCGCCCGCTGAACGCGTCGCGGGGGTAGCCGGCGGGGAACAGGGAAGTCCCCGGCCCGGACAGCGACCCCGGCAGCGACCCCGGCGCCGCGCCGGCGTTCCAGCCGCCCTGCGGCAGGCCTTGCGGCCCGGCGCCGGGCCGCGCGTTGTAGTCGAACTCGGTGTAGTGCGGGCTGGCGGGGACGGCGCCGGCGTCCTGGTCAGGGACGGGCTCATTGCGGCGACGGCTGTCGCCCCACTGACGCCTCGCCACTGGAACGACAGGACCGCGTTCACAAGGGTACTTTGTCGCCGCCAACCTCATCGAAATGCAACCTCGCAATGACGTCATCAGGACATTTGGACAGGTAGCCGGGTTGCCTGCTCTTCCTCACCCGGGTCGTAGTCGTACAGCGCCACGCGGTCGCCGGGCAGGGCGCGGTCGTAGCTCCACGACAGCTCCAGCACCCTCATCTCCTTGCTGCGCAGCAGGGGCGACACGGAGATGGCCACGCGCGCGGTGCCGCACTTGGTGGAGGCTGGGAGTGGAGACATACTTGTGAGACGAGGTCGTCAACCCGACGGCCGCTTGCCGCTTCGCACTTTCACGACACTCACCGCTGATCGGCCTGCGGGCCTCCGAGACGGCCAAGACGGTCAGGACGGCCACCAGCAGCAGAGCAGCCCAAGGCCTTCTCGCCCCCGGTGTGGTCCCCATGGCGAACTCCCTGCGAAACAAAGTCAATCATCCATCACTCCCCTGCTCTGCAAGCGCCGTGCTGGTTAGGCCAGCCCGCCGCACCGCTGAGTCCTGCTGCTCGGCGGTTGCCTACTCCGCGCCTGGTTCCGCTCCACCTCCCGCTCCTCACCGCCCCGGAGGAGAGCCCCTCTGCCATCGTCGGCCGCCGCCAGGACGTGCAGCCTCTGCAGACTGACTCCGAGAGTCGTTTTCGTCGCTTGGTCTCTCTCGTACTCACGAAGCGTCCCGTAAAGGTGCGAGAGAGACAGCGACGAAAACGACTCTGGATCAGTCTACGGGCCGACAACGCGGTGAACGCGGGCGCGGCGGCCTTGGCAGCCTAGCGTCGCACGCCGCGGTGCGAATTACGATGTTACACGGAACGTGTGAGTGCGTGTGCAATGGGCGTGGCGGTACACCTTCGGCAAGTGAAGCTTCCAGTTCAGTCGAGCGCTGCTCCCTGATTTCCCCTCCCACGCAGTCTTGTCTGTCTGCCTATCCACTGTCTGTCTGTCCGTCCGTCCGTCCGCCCACGCGTCCGAGGGTTTCCCCGCGTGGTGGCAACAAACTGATTGACAGTCTTGGGCCGCTGACCTGCCAAATAATAGCCCCGGCGGTGTTATGACGGGACGGCCGCCTCCTCCCTCTCCCCTCTCTCTTTCTCTTGGCAGCGCGGCAGTGTTTGTTGATGTTGTTGTTGTCGCCTATCTTCGCTAGGACACGGCGGTGAGTCACGCTCCAAACTGGGAGCTGGACAACAACAACAACTAGGAGGCGCGCGGCGCGAGCGGAAACACCTCACCGGTTGAGGCGCGTTTAAGGTGAAGCGCGGTTCCGTGTAGCCCAATGGCCTATAATGGGCCTCCCAGAATCCGACGCGCCGCTTCTCCGCTCCGTCGCCTCTGCGTGCCTCGCGGCTTCACAGCTTCACTTCCACATCCCGTGTCTGACTCACGCCATCCGCGACGTGCCCCGTCCCGGTCCGCACGGACGGACGCGGGCGAATGCACTCTTGTCGTGTCGTCTGCCGCCTTCCTCTGAGGCGACGCGCGGCGAGAAGAAGAGGAAATTGGCGCGTTGCGTTCAAAGCGGCGAGATTACCGCGGCGAGTACCGCCGCCACTCCTTAAACAACGGCGGCGGCGCGGCGAATGCAGGCGAATGCTGGGTGTGACTGTGCGTCTTGGCACGGACTGCCCGCGGCCTACCCGCGGCGTGGCCCAGCGCGCTGTGATTGCAGCCAATGCCGTTACGTTCATCCCAACGCGGTTAATCGGCGGTGTCCATGACCGGCAAAGCGGCACAGCGGCGGACGGACGGCGGCCACTCTGCTTGGCGGCGGCCCGGCGTCGCACAGTGGGCCAGAAGACCGGTGGAGGCGGTCGAAATCCCGGACGCGTTTTGAGCTCCAGAGTCGCTAAACTGGACTCGAATCGAACGTGTGACCCCACCAATGGATTCCTCGTTCGGAGAGCAATCCATTGGTGGGGTCACACGGTCGGTCTGAGTCCCATTTAGCGACTCTGGAGCTCAAAAACCCGTCCGGGATTTTGACCGCCTCCACCGCGGTCTTCTGGCAAATCCACTGTGCATTGCCCACTGCTGGGAGTGTTCATTGTCGGTTTACTTTTGCACGCGGCCGACCGGTCGACTTGGCGACGGCCTTGGCCGGCAGGATAACAACAAAAGGCGCGCACGGGGAGGCCTAGTCCTGGCGGAGTCCTGGCGGAGTCCTGGCGGAGTCCTGGCCGCCTTGGAGGTCCTGCGGCCCTGCGCTGGCGAGGCAGATAGCGGCAGGCGGCCACGGATTTGGCGGCCCGAGCTCGCTGTAGTGTATGTAGCTGTGGCGCACTACTTTGCAAACATTCGCGACTCTGACGGCCGACACACAGATCACGCCGAGCGCAAGGAGTAGCACCAGGCAGGAGCGTTGCTGTCGTTGGTGGAGCCACGGACTCAGGGCGTACCGGGGGAGGGGTGGGCACTCCCTTAACGCACTAATTCAATAATTCGCTGAAGCAACAGCCATTGTCTAGCTGGGAGCAACGAACACGCCGGTCCAGCACGTCACTCTTTCTCTCTCGCACCGAGACAGAGCGACGGCATCACTTTGGAGACGCAGCACGCTGCCTCTTTGTTCCACGTACCTCGTCCGACCCGTCCTGAGTCCTTCAGCCTCGGCAGTCTCTGTGGCGTTGCGCAGGCTGTGGTCGCGTTGTAACTCGCATGTCCGGATGGCGGTTCGAGGCCCGACGCGTGCGTGGTGCGCGGCCGTGTCCCTAGAGACCCCCGTGTCCCCGCGCCGCGACTCGACTCCGCGACCGCCGTGCGCCGTGCGCTGGAGGCAGGCTGCGACTGTGTGGAGCGGAGCTGCGGAGCGTGGACACGGATGGCCGCCCAGCTGGCTGTGCCGCTGTGCCGCTGTGCCCTGCCCGCGCCGTGCTCGCTCGCTGTGCCGCGGCCCCACGTGGGGCAGGCGGGCAGGCAGCCGGGGCCCCTCCGCTAGTGGGGGCACGGCAGTGACGCCAGGTCGGGGGCACGTCTTCTAGTAGGCCACCGCGGCGGCGTGCCGGCGTTCATCGCGAGACGGTAGAGCCGCGCTGGCAGGCCGATTCGCCGCTCTCTCTCACTCTCGCAGCGGGGCCGCTCCTCCTTGTGGTGCGAGAGAGACAGAGCCGCGGAATCGCTCTGCAGGGAAGCCCGCGGCTGTTGCGCGCCGCGTAGCGCCGCGCCACCGTCGTGAACTGCACTGCATGATGCGGCATGGCCGGACAACTGTGTCGCCCGTCAGCGCTTTTTGCGGCCGCGCCGCGACCGCACCGCGACCGCACCGCGACCCCGCATACGGCAGCAAAAACGAAAAGGCGAAACAAAGGTCCCGAGAAGTATTGCGGTAGGGCAGTGTGGCCGACATGCACGCCGCCTGCAGCTAGACGGCACTGCTGCACTGCACGACGGCGGCGTCGCGCGGGCCTGCCTATCCTCTCCTTCACAGGCGCTCACGTCTCGACGATGTGCACGGACAGCACGCACGGACGGGACGGACACCTGGCTCAGCCGTGACCCTAACGAATGCTAAGGAGAGGGATCGATGCGTTATAATTTCGCGCTGGAGAAAATGTCAGTTATCTTGAAAGCAGCCCGCTTCACGGGAGGCCCTGCCCCCCTCCCCCTCCTCCAGTCCCTGCACCGCCCCCCGCCCCGCCCCACTCCTCAGCCGTTCCCCTTGTCCGGAGACAGCCCATCTCCATCGGTTGTGTTGTCAGTGACATTGTCATGCGAGGACACAAGAGCCCTTGAAAATGACGCACCCTTGTGTCTTCTTCACAATTTTTTACGTTGTGCTGACGTTGTGCGTTATATTTCCGACGCCCGAGTTCAAGTCTGCTGGGTTGACAGTAGAAACAATTTTCAGCAAATGGCTTGGCAACGAGCACGAACTGTTCATTCAGTACCAGATCAGGCGTACTACCATGAATATGTTTCTGCACTCCATGGTTCCATTTGGTGAGGCACTTTATCAATCACAACCCGTGACTAAAATCTGCTGACGTTCCTAACCTAAACTTTACTTGGTTCTCAGGTTACGTATTAGGCCTGGAGTACGTGCGAGCCTATAGCTATGCAGACAACGAGTATCAATTTCTGGCCACATGGAGCTTGTCATGGATTATCTATGTTGTTTTCGCCACCCTGATTCCTCTGTCTGTTTGTGCTCAATTTTATTTGTGGTTTCATGACGGTTTGAAGGACCATCCCATTGCACAAAAGGTGGCTGTTTACAGAAACAGAAACCTAGGTGGTTCCTGGTTAACTGTTGCTTCCGATATCAATCTTGAATATAGGAGAGTTGACAAAATCATAATTCAGTCCAGCTCTGTAGTGCGGGTGGTTGCAACAGATAATTGGGTGATTAAAATATCACCATACACATTAGATATCGCTCATCAATCAGACTCTGCTCTCATCCTCTCAAGTGCTGATGTTCATCAGTGGTCACCTCACATTAATGACAACGTCCAATTTGTCAATATTGAAGTAAAACCTACCAGGCAACATGCGACACCCTTCAAAATAAGGTTTGATTTTTTATTTGTTGAAACCGGTTTATTGTTGACAAAATGCCTTATCAAGTTTTGTTTTCTTTGAATTTGCCAGACTAAATGCACTGGATCTTAAGGATCTTCAGAACAAAATATCCCGTCCTATCACAATTCTAGAAAATGTGAGAGTCCGAAGGTCCCTCATAGATCGATTCCTAGAGACATTTATTGATGAGGTTACTAGAAACCCCGTCTATTCAACTAATGAGGTTTGTGAAGCTACATAATATTTTTTAAAATTATGTTTATATTTATATAATAATGATTGTGTCATACTTCCAGGAGCTAGACTCATGTATAGGTTGCATGCAAGTACCTGCCAATGTCAAACTGCGGAAGCTCTGTATGGATGACCCTGGCCATCGGGAAAATTGTACAAATTGTCTCTGCAGACCTATGTGGTGTGTAAACTGTATGGGGAGGTGGTAAGTATTACATTTTCTGATTGAACTATTTTGCTGTGACACAAACTGATTGCCATTTTTTTCCTTTTGTATTTTCAGGTTTGCTTCCAGGCAAGAAAAAGAACCTTCAACATGGCTTTCATCCAAGTGCTCTTGTCCTCTATGTCGGTCACGTTTCTGTATACTTGATGTGTCTGCTGTTGTGCGAAGGTGAGTCCTCACTCAGCCACTTCTTTTATGAAGCTAAACATGTGATGTGATGAATCAAAATTGGTCTTCATCATTGATTTTTTTACTATTTTTTTAACTCTGCTATTTAATGTAGGTGTATTGTCTCTTTCAAAACCAGCAAGTACAATTTGTGGCTTTGTATTTTTAGAATACATAATTTATGTGTGTCTCTCTGTGTGTAGAAATTTTTTAAAATTACCTATTTGTGTCCTTTTTATTCAATTTTTCTCAAGCGTACTTCTTTAATGCTCTTAACCAATAGTTGTTATTTTACTTCTCTACTGTAAGAATTGAAATCATAAGGTGTTGAAGTCTGATGTAGAACATATCTCACTCTTATGCTTTTGAAAATATGTTGACATCAAATGCCTTGTTGATTATTTCCACAGTAAATTTTGTACAAAGTAATGTCATGGTCTTATCAACTTCGTGTTTCTGGTGTGCATTATTGAGCTAGATATAATTATCAAATGGATTTTGTTGTTGTTTTTTTTTTTACAGTTCTAATGATAATATTGTTGTGGTTCTGTAGAATGCACTTGATATATTGTGATGGAACTTGTGATTTTGTTGGGGTAGGTTAAGTCCTAGAGTATAAATGTCATTGTTATGAAGTAGTTTCCCTTTCCTCAGTTTTACTGTAGTTAACGTGGCCATTGCTCCTCCCATCTTTTGGACTGATATGCAAGCAATCAGTATTTTCATCTTATTGTTCTATGATTTATTGTGCGTTCACTCTGGAGTGAGCTACACCATTCACAATTCAGCCTCTAGTCTAATGGTCATAAAAGGGATTATTTTTGCCATTTATTATTTAAACAAATGTAAGAAGAAAGACGCACAAAATGTTTTGTCAGTGTAAGAGTGAGCAATGGATGCATTGGTCTAACATGTTGAGGGTACTGTAATAAAATTTTCTCATGCCCATTATATGATTTATTTGACTTAACAATTGCACTCCATGCGTATTCCTGACAGATTATAAGATTGAAATTTCAGTAATATGCAGCTTGACTTACTAGCTAAGAGGCACACTTTCACAGGAGATCTAGGCAAAAATTAACACAACGTAACATAACTATTAACTAAATACACATGAAAATGAGGAACAACTCATCTGAGTCCAACTAAGCAATCCTAATAGTAAAATAATGAATACTTGATAGGTAGCTCTTCCATCTTGGTCTAATAACAATGCATTATTGTCAAAAACATTTTTTTTTTTTTTAAAGAAAGGGTACCAGTTATAAATACATTTAAGTGACATTTTAAACTTAACCAGAGGGTTGTGTCACTTCATCTATTTGGGAGAGGCAGGAGCAAGGCGTCCTCTGCCTCTGCCACCCATCAAAGGGGCACTTCCTGGCTGGGGAGCAGTGTAGGCTTGAGCCAATCCACCAAAGCTGTTACAGTTTTGAATTCCTGACAATGATGAAGACACTGGTGTCAGGGCACCACCTGGCAAATTACTTTGAAGTCCTAGCATATTGGACAGAGGATTCATTTGATATTCTTGAGCTAGTACATTTTGAAATCCAGAAACGCCAGAGGGGGCTAAATTGCTGAGACTGGACACAGATACTCCTGGATAACCATTGGGATATCCAGCATGTTGAGCGACAGCAGGAATTCCAGGGAAGCTAGATGAGTCAGGTATACCACCAGGAAGTGTTGGCACATTGGGCACAACACCTTGAAGAGAATCTGCTAATGGAGCTGCACCAGGCAAAAGATTGGGCAGTCCTGGCATACCACCGGAGAAGGGCATGGAGAGTCCAGGCAAAATGCCAGGGTAGGGATTGGTCAGTCCAGGCATGAAGCCAGCATAAGGATTGATCAACCCTGGGAGATTGTTTAGATCTGGCATACCAGATGGAGGATTGGTCAATCCAGGTGCAGTCAAACCATTGGGGAACCCAGAAACACTCCCAGGTAAAACATTGGAAAATGGAGGCATGACACCAAGTAATGAGTTGGACAGCCCAGGAATTCCACCAAAAACAGAATTTGGTACATCAGGCATGGTTGGTGTCTGGGCAGGCATGCTTGGTGTCTGGGCAGGCATGCTTGGTGTCTGGGCGTTAGGAAGACCTGGGAGGCTTCCAGGTGAAGTATTTTGCAAACCAGCAACTAGTCCGTATAAGCCAGCAGATGAAGTATCTGAGAGACCAGGTCCAGTTGGAGTAAGAGAACTTGTTTTGATTGGTGGGTTATTCAAAATCATTGAAGCAGCTGTTTGATCAGCCTGACCCTAAAAAAAATATAAAAAAAGCTTAATTAAAATACATACAATTGGAGAGTGTTTGATTTACATCAGTGGAAACTCACCATTTCAGGCTTCCTTTTTTCATTGGAAGATTGGACATTCCCACCGCCAAAGTTCTGTCCATTCTGACGAAGCTGGGGTGTGCCTACCAATCCTTGTTGCATCAGGAGCATTTGGTGATATTGTGCTTGCACAGAAGCCATTGGCAGTTCCTCCAATGAAATGGAGGATGAAAGAGTGGCTGACTGTGGAGAATGGGTTTGAGGTTGAGGGAGAGCTGCATTGCCAAAAATTTCAGGAGCTGTTGATGACAAATTCAGGCTTTCAACAGCTATTGGCTGCTGTGATTTTCCTTTCTCCTTTTCTTGAACAGACTTTTTGGAGTGATTCTGGAGTGAAGCAACCTCTGTGCTGCTTGCTCCTTTACTCTCATTGTCCACAGGATAATTGTGGCTGGCTTCTTCATCATTTGCTGGTTGGTTTGAGCTGAGTTCCTTGTCTGGTCCTGGGCCCTTTGGGACTACCAATAGGGGAGGTACCTCTGGGCTGGTTGAAGTTGTCCTAGCTTTGTGCCCAACGTAATTATGGGTGGTTCCTTCCCCATTTGCTGGTCGTTGGGTAAAATTCTTCATTGCTGTCATGAGAGCTGTTGGCTTGGATGTTGGTAAGCGTGAAGAAGTGATGGGACTGTCGAAGGTTTCAGGGACATTGCTTGTCTTTGGAATTTTTCTTTCTTGTTTTGACTCTCTCTCTCTGGCCAATACTCTATTTTCAGACATTTGTTCTTCATTCATTGTATTTTTTGCCTCTTTTTCTTCTTTTTTATCACATTGTTTCATAGGGGATCCGTACTTCTTCTCATCTGGCGCCTGAAGAGTGATAACTTTCTTTTCATGAGATACAGATATTTTCAAGTCAGCAACCATTGGTGGTGGCGACTTGCAAGTTTTCTGCTCTTCACGATGTCTTGGTCTTTGATCTAAGCATTCTTCATGTGGTGGTGACTTGAAAGTTTTCTGTTCTTCCCGATGTCTAGGTCTTTGATTCAGGCATTCTTCATTGGGCTTTGTAGTCCTTTCAGAGTTCTTGAAATTATCCTTATTACTATTATTATTGAGTTCATGAGTAGAGTCCTTTGAATTGAGATTTGTCATTTCTTCATCCTAATAAAAAATAAGGGAAAAAAATAAATTAAAGCCAACTACATTTAATCAAAAATGAAACAAGCAGTTCATACTTACCCAACTCTGGTTTGTACTATCTACACTCATGGACCTGTTTCTATCTACACTCATGAACCTGTTTCTATCAGTGGGAGTGGGCTTTACCGCCCAAGAAGCATTGCCCCTGGAGGATGCAGAAATCAGCTTAGCACTGCAAAAATAAGACAAATAATTTAAAAATTTGGCATAAAAAAAAGAAGAAAAAATTGAAAAAAAAGGGGAAAAAAAACTAACTTTGCGGCCTCATTTTGGCTTTGGTACAGGGTTTCAAGCATAACATTTCTTTGCTGCTCCTCTTTGGCAGTACGTATGCTCTCAGCTATGGCAAGAGCCAAATCATCATCTCCAAGGCCATTGACAAGAAGTGTTTGGCTTTGCACATTTGAAAACAGTTCATTACCACTTTTTTGCATCCAGCGATTATTTTCAGTTGAGACAGGAGGCCCTGATAAATGTTCAGTATTACAATTTAACCAGGAGAAAAAATGAGAGCAGCAGGTTTGAAGTAAATGTATATAGATCACCTGGGGTAAAAGGTAACCCAACAGATGGAACTCTCTGAGGTTTCCGCACAGGCATGCTAAATTTTAAAGGGATTTGAGGTACTTCTTTAGAATTATAATAATCCAATGAACTGTTTTTAGGAACAAGCTTGCCATTATCAAGCAATACCACTTCATCTGAGCGGCAGCGTTTCCTCTCTCTTGCTTGTTTAACTTTAGGAACCCCACTGAAAAAGAGAAAAATTAAATTGCAATTCTGGACAAAAGAAAAATAAACACAATCTGAAACCTTGCCTGAAATAATCATCTTCTTTGGTAGGTTTCAATGGATACAGGAAATTTCTGTAATCTTTTTTCTTGGGATTGGATCTGACAACAAAATAAATGTTAAGAGCCAAGTTTTTTCCAATTTGAGGCAGCTTGAGGTATTAATTAACTCAGTACTTACTCCGAAATTTTCCAGGTCTCATTCATATTACGTTCCAACTCCATTGAGTGCAGCAGCTCCAATGCACTTCTTCGAGCAGCTTCTTCACTAGAGGATCCGTCTTCACTCCTGTAATCCACAGTAGATAAAATGAAATAACATTTTGATGAGCACACAACAGAAAGTAGAAAGATAAGTCAGCAAACATACTGATTTTTCACACACGATGTAGCCTTGCTCAACAATTCATCCACTCGTTTATCATTGGCAACCTTTAAAGCTTCCTCATTTTCCAAGGAAGAATCGTCATCAGCGTCGTCGAATGAACAGTGTTGAGAAAGGTAAGTCATAAGTGGGAAGTTATCCACCTGCTTTCTGGGTGGAACAATGGCACCACTCACTCCACCATTTCCCTTTGTGCCACCCGATTTCTTTTGAAACGTCGCCGCCATAGCTCTGGACAAATCATCGAAAGGATGAAAAACCGATTAACATGGCAACAATGATCAAAACAGGCATCAACACCAGCTAAAGTCATTCAAGTGGCAACAGTAACCTGTAAACACAGATCGGCGTCGAAAATAAACGTGAAAGACACCCTTTAACCTCAGTTTCAGAGTCGCAACTTGTACCGACTCTAAAAACGCCTAAGGATTTTAAGTTAAAATGGAGAAATACGACGTAAAATGGACAAAATCACCATCAAAGGCCGACCACTAGCGGCGTGTTGGAGACCCTCTTCGGCACCATGGACATTGGAGACGAACCTTGACTTAAAAATATTGCTTGCTGTCAACTGGCTGTGGAAATCGTAGAGCGAATTTGATGAGGCGTCGAAAAATCATAGCATGTCGTGTGATGCGTTGAATCTTACAACTAAAACCACATAGGAAAGTAGACGTGAGTAAACTAACATGTGATGCCGTTTTCGGGGGGAATGCCGTTCTACGCACATTCCTTCTTTTCGGAGTTGCCACACATAAAAATTTAAAGAGTGAAAATGGACCGAGATTTGAAACACTTTTAAAGGTATCTTTTGTGGGGTATGCATATTTTTTAGTTTGGGAAAGTATTTTGAAATGTGCTGCGCCAGATACCATGCGACGAGGAATTGCATAGCACGTTGGAAAATTCACACTACAGTGTTGGCAGACAGCACAACTACCTTTTGTTTAAATTTACCACTGTTGTTGTTTTTTATGTTTGTAGTCGTTTATTTGGACCACCCCCATCGCCCCCACCCCCATCCCCTACCGATCCCATCCCCCATCCCCCTCTTCCTTCCCCATCCGAACACCAACACGAAAACGAGATTCCAGGGGGAATCTTCTATCGGCGTTTCATTCCACAGCCCAATGCAGTCATGCAAAAGTGCCTCCCCTACTTGTTTCTTCTCTTCGATGAGCTCTTCTTCCCAAAAAACACTCAAAAACGACTTTATAAAAAACAAAAATTACAATTAGCATATTTATGCTAATTAAAAACGTATCTATTGGCAATTATGCTCTAGAATGTATTGGGGTACGAGTTTCGCCGTCTATGGTCTGTCCTTCTGGTCACATTGACCTTTGACCTATATTCCTGGAAGGGGGTGGGGTTGGATTGGGGATGGGGATGGTGAAGGGGGTAGGGGAAGGGATGCAGGGGGTTGGGGGCGGAGGGGCTGGCTGGCTGGTACAACATGGCCTGTATTGGATGCAGTTTCATCGCTTGTTCTTCATGTCATGAGTTGCATTAATCTATGTTGCGGAGAGAAGAACGGAATTGAGAGACACTTTGAGGCAAATATTACTTTTCTTTTTCAGTACGTGGGTTGGGAGTGGTGTTTTCTAGATATTGCAGTGAATGTGTTGGGTAGTGGGTAGGGGTAAAAATTAGTTTTAACTTGACATGCTGACGACCCTTCCCATTTGATAGTTTCTACCCAAACTTAGGAGTCGGTAATTTTCCTTGCATTGCTCACTTATGTTCTACTTCAAAGTTCGTAAACGCGTCAAAATGACAAGTGTGTGTCAGGTTACGTCCAATTTGGCACAAATTTGTCTTTGCCCATTTCGCACAAATAAATCAATCAAGGAAACTATTTTTTACAGTTTCTTTTAAAATGAAATATAATTGAACTGTTGTGTTTTTTTTTTAATCTTATTTACACAGTTATCAATGCATCCATCGACGTCAGTAGTAGGTCGTCTGCTCTTCTGTGTCGTCTGCTATGTTGGTTAGGTTTTGAACCGCCTGTATTTCAGCAGCTTAGGATGGTGTTATTCCTTTCTCTGTCATTCCTAAACATCTGGCTTAAACATTCATTTTTGTTTTCATTTACTTCAGTCTAAGTAGGCATAAATGGACAGCATTACAGCACCCTCTTTTCCCCTTTGTATCAATTACTTCTTGTTATGAAGTATTGACTTTTAATTTATTGTCTTGTGTCCAACCACTCTAAAGTTGAAATCAGTTTCCAATTGCATGTGGGTCTATTCTGATTGCAGACTGTGGAGAACGGCAGCATGCTCAGTCAATCCTTTCAGAAGTCTGCTAACGCGGGAAGTTCAGGCAGTGGTGGATTTTCTTGCGCTGCTGAAACTGGCAGTGTAGTTGTCTCATCTGTTAGTGCAGCTATGGATAGCCAGACACGAAACCCTCTGTTGTGTTTTGTTTGTGACAACTATTATAATGATCCATGCCTCCTCATTTGCTATCACACCTTTTGTGCCAAATGTTTGCATGGAAGGGAAGCAGACCGTAAAATAGCATGTCCGTTATGCGGGTAAGTAACATGAAGACATCGATGTAGTATTATTGTTTCTGTATGCTAACCATGATTTTTTCTGAACTTCAGGGTTCAAACAGTATTGAAGGATGGGCAAGCCCATCCTGCCCAAGATATGTTAATGCGCCACATGATTGAACTTGCTAATGCTGAGAACCCACCATGTGCCAACTGTGATAAAAGGGATAAGAACAATATGTACTTCTGTGTCACATGTGGTATGTTTCTCTTTGTCATAAATTTCCCTTCTTACTTATTTTATTTCATTTCTAAGTTGTCACACGTTATATGTGAAAAATATCCAACACAATCATCATCATTATTTATATTTATTTACTTGACTTTTGCTTGTTTGTAGTAATTTTCTTTGTGCATGTTTCATTTATTTGTTTACCTTTTGTTTGTTTGCTTTAGCTGAGTATGCAAGGTGAAAAGATAGTCAGTGGGAGGCTTGCTTTAATTCATCCTTCAGTATTCTCCATTGTAGCTATAAAATAGATGCACAGATGCATTGATGGTCGGTTAGTACATCCCTTAAATTGGACAGAACAAACCACAATTCAACATTCAATTAAACATTGTCAGTCAAATTTTTTGGGTAGACAAGTATGAGAGAGGATTTACTCATACCTTGTACCATCATTTTCAGGACAAGCTTTGTGTACCAGTTGCCGAGAAAACACTCACCGAGCAAAAATGTTTTCAGCTCATGAAGTTGTCCACATGTCAAAATGCAGCAAAGATTCCTATCGCAAAGTAAGTTTTAAGCTTTGTTTGTAGTCTTGTTACTACCAAGAAATCATGCATAAAAATAATAAAAGTAACAATAATATGGTTCACCTGCACAGCAATGTACCCAACATGGAGAACAGCATGTAATGTTTTCAAACAGTCAACGCTCAATGCTCTGTGAGAGTTGTTTCCAAGATGTTCCTACAGAATCTAAAGTGCATTGTGTGGATATTGATACAGCTTATAATCAGTCATGTAAAAAGCTTGAGAGGGCAATAAGTGTAAGTGAAATTTCACATTAAACACTGTAGTTCAACTTCTTTGCTTTTGTATGAGAAACGTACCTTTCTGTTTTAGACCGTGCAAACCATGCAGTCATCAGTAAGAGATGGTCTTTTGATGTTCAAAAACCTCTTGGATGAACTTCGCCGTAACATGGAAACTGAAAAAGTAACTATTAATTCTTTCTGTGAAGGCATGCGGCAAGCGATAGCAAAGACCCAAGCATCTATGATGATGGAGATTCAAAGGTATATTTGGTGGGGAAGGTGCCCTGCAGGGTTGGACTTATTAGGCATTTCTCAAATTATAATGTATTTCTGTAAATTATGTTTCAGACAATTTGAGATCAAAGAAAGATCATTTCATGGACAGCTTACAAACTTAGGTTCAATGTTGCCTTTACTACAGCTTCATCTTTTACTCGCACAAACCTTCTCTATTTCTGCTAACAAATACCAGTTTCTTGACCTGGCATATCCTATGATGGACAGGCTCAATGCAGTTTCACAACTTTCTTTGCCCTTGAGGTGAGTTCTGTTCGATAAATTCTGACAGTTTGAAATTATTTGTTGATTTATGTCATTTTTATCCACAAATGTTATCTTTTTCAGCCGACCTGTTCAATCAAGCCAAATACGTACCAATTTCCGTTCAGAATTTTCTCATTCCCTTGAGCCCTGGATAGGAGTTCAGTCTCTTGAAGGTCGCCCAAAGTCAGGGATGAGTATTTATGAGTCGCATAAACAGCTCCAGCTGCAACAACAACAGCAGCAGCAACAGCAACTCCAGCAGCTCCAGCAGCATCAGCAGCAACAGCAGCAACAGCAGCAACAACAGCAGCAACAACAGCAGCAACAACAACAGCATCAACAGAAACAACAGCAGCAATCACGTGTGCAATATCTTACACTGCACCAACAGCAACTTCAACCTATCCAATCAGTCCCTCAACAACAGCAGCAGTCTTTTCCAATGCAGCAACCAACCCCATCTCATCATCAGCAAAGTTCTATTTTGTTTAAAGGGACAGAAGAAACAGGTCCATTCACCAACCACTGCCGTAATTTTGATTCGCAACTGAAGGTGAAGCTTAGTCTGAGAGTTCATTAAATTGTACTTATGTCAAGTTGGATTTCTATTATTGATATGAATCTTTTTTATGCAAAGGATTTGAGTGCTCAACTTGGAGGAGTGAAAAAGAAATTAGGAGAACTCACAACAGATGTTACACTGCTGAGACGGGCCCATACTCCACCACTGACCCTGCGCTTTGAGACAGTTACTAGAGACTGTAATGCTCTAAAGCAAGCTCTGGAATGCCGCCAGGTTTGTTTAATTAAATTTGTAGTAGGCGTGTTGAAACTTATTGCAGCATATTTATGAATTTTGTTTAATTCAGCTTGAACTTGAGAGACTTCAAGGTGTATTTCACACTCTCTGGGAGCAGCAACTATGCCGTGTTCAAACTGAGAGAGAAATATTTGAGGCTCAGGTAAGGTCTTTCTTTTTAATGTGCTGTAGAATTATCTGTCCATCACTCCTAGAGTTCAATCTGACTTCTTCTTGCAGATAAGTGATGTTATGACTCTAGTCTCTGAGGTGAAGAATATTGCAAATGCTGCTCGCCAGCTTGAACCATACGTTGTGGCCTTATCCGCTGCAGATATTGCTATTTCACAAATGCATCAGCAAGCTCAAAGTGCTGCTACTCCACAGCCAGTTCTACCAAAGCCATCTGTGGAAGATGCTTCTCATCTGCAGTCAGTACTTGAACACATCAATTATCTTCAACAAACTGAGTGAGTTGCATCTCTGCAGCTTACTTATGAGATGAAATATTTATGAGTGTTGACTTATTTACATATGTTCATTAGGAGGATACGCAAAGATCCAGAAGTGGGAAAGGGGGAGTGTCGCGTTCACCCGGGAGCATCTCCAGGACATGTCTCTTCTACCGCCGCTCAAGATAAATTGCTTTACATAAAATGTAAGTATGAAAGCAACAGAAAAAAATTAAGTTTTTTAATCTTAATTATGAAAATAGTTAAAATAGCTTTAAACTGGCTCAATTAATTTAAATGATTTTCTTTCTGCAGTGGAGGGCAAAGGGAAAAGCTCAAGAGTGAAATCGCCCAGAGACCGAAGTGAGCAGAGGGAAGCACAAGAACAGCAGCAGCTCATCGCTCAGGCTATGCTGGAGTCTGGTTATGGTACTACTGGAGGTCGGGAGTCTAAACGAGGATCTGTGCTTAGTCATATTATGGGAAAAGTATGTCAACCCTTTTGCCCTTTCAATTACAAAACAATTATAACACAGGACTGTTTCTTATCAATCATAATGACTTTTAGGTGCGAACTAAAGAAGAACGCAAGAAATCTCCTGAGGAACCTTGTCGAGCTAAAACTCCCACTCGAGAAAGAGTTAAATCCGAAGGCCGAGGCGATTCCTCTCACAGTAAACCTGAGCGGCAGCTTGACGGGAAGCCCAAAACTAAAGGTGCTTTGATTAAATCTAGTTGTTGGAGAGGATGAATTGTTTTCTCCCCCGATATAGCTTATGTGAACCAAGCATCCTCATTGTCCAAATTATCGTGTTAATTGTTGCAGGCAAAGTAGCATCGCTGTACCACTCTTTGAGTGGCAAGGTGATGGGGTCCTCTCACAGCATACAAACCGTGATTGCTGCAGAAGATGAACAGCAGATGCAACAGCAACAGCCACGTAGACACCTTCCACCACCTCCACCACCACAGCGCAGGCCAACAACTCATATCACCAGCATTCACCGGGAAGACTCATCCCCTGTAGATATTCCTCCAGACGGAACGGTTAAACGTCGGGGAAGGCTGTCACGTCCTGCTTCAGCTGGGGAAAAGGAGGAGCCTGAATATCCTATCACCAGGAAAGCAAAGAGTGTAGGATCTCCAACTGATTTTGGTGGTCACTTGGTGCGTGCTGTCATCCATAAAGATTCAACAGGAAACCAACCAGTCTCTCCCCGAAGACACAGAAGCACTGATTCAGCTCTGAGACAAGTTCGAATGTATCCAGCATCTGACACGGAAGACTCTGTTTTCAAGCAGAGCTCTTGTGAGAGTTTGGCTTTATCAGACATTGGCCTCTCAGGAGATAATCGTAAAACACTAATTGTTGTTGTTGGATCAAAGTCAAAACGCTTAATGCACAAACAACGCTCTTGGGAAACCTTTCCACCCAAACGTCGAGATGGACACAGAAGCCGATTTTGTCAAGATCCTGCAGCTTTCAGGTCAGGGTTTGAGAATGGCAGTCCAGTCGGTTCTACCATGAGTCATATTGGACCCACTCTTAAAAAAGCAGATAGCTTTGAAGGACATGAGGAAGCTGTACGCACATTAGTTGCTGCAGTGCAACAGCACCAACACCATCAGCAACATCAACAAAATCAACAGAACCAGGCAATGCAGCAGCAGCATCACCAGAGGAAGCATTCAGGACCAAAAGCCCAGCCTCCCAGTGGTTAATTAAAAATAAGTCGAAACAAAGTTAAGACTCATGGCAGAAAAGAAGGAAAAAATACAAAAGTGACACACTGTGTCAAAGAAAATAAACTGAAACTGTCTGGACCAAGATTCCGATAAGCAAAATTTCCTTATAAACAAATGGTCAAAATTTGGTCCTTTCCACACCTCTAAAGAAAACAACTTTCTTTTGTTTGTTTTAAGCTTAATTTCTCCAACAATAATTTAAAAAACTATCATCATATTTTTTAAAGTTTGAAAGTTGTTCCCCAACATTGATGTTAAAAAAATTTCCTCCTCCAGTCTGTTTTCAAATGTTTTCCGAATTAAGATCCTACTGTCTTCATGATGAGAAATAGTTGGGCATGTGTTGCTCTGCACTGTTTTTTCCTCATCAATTTCCTATCTCCGTCTACTGTTTAAGATTGATCATTTTATAATGTATTGGACGTATAGCAAAACTGAATGTTAGAATAGGACTGCGAATTTTACTGTAACATCATAAGCTTTGTTTCTTAACCACATATAATTCTTCTGGGCCTTTGCCCACTCACACCTTATCAGTAAGTCTGATAGTTCATCTATATTGTACAATTTCACCAAGAAACTAAACAGACACCAAAATTAGGGACAGAACTTACCTCAATTATACTTGCAAGTATACAATTGCAGACCTTCTGTTTCTATTAATGTTCTGTATAGGTTTGAGTGATGAGTTGTGATTAACTGCCACATTGTATTCATATTTGTAGGTAGGTTGAGAATCATATTCCATTAATAATCACTTACTGTTTGATAGCATTTGGTTATTTAAATGTGCACATAAGCACTTGACTGTTTCATGGATGGAAAGGAAACACTTTGTAAAGAGTTTGCACTCAAAGTGATACAAATATTTCACTTCGTTTTATGGTTTTGTGTTTTAAATGGCTTACATCTTGTCATCCTGATATTGAACTGAATTTCTTGATGAGGTATCTTACTCTCTTACGTAGTATTTAAGGCAGCTCTTTGATCAACTCAAAATACTAGGATCTGTTTTCTTACTTTCTGACGGAAGAGTATATTATTGCTTCCCTCTCAACCCCAAGAATTGACTTAAAAATTGTGCTCAATATCATCAACTACTGCCATAATCAGTAAACATTAAAAGTGCCAAAAATTCAACAACAATCTTTTTCAGTAGAGTAGCATATTCATGTCATGCTCAAAACAGACCTCTCAATTTTTTCAAGACACACTGCCTTAGAGTAAGTGTGGTAAGTGAATTTCTATGTATTCGTTCATAAGTAAATTATTTCAAAATTTAATTGGTAAAAGTAAAATTTTGGTTTGAATGCCTTGTATATAGGGTCCCTTACTAAAGACAAAACAGTGAGTTTGCCTATTGCAGTGTCTTTGATTTTCAATGTGAAACAAGTATGTATGTAGGAATGTAATATCAATTGATTCTCACTGCCATGTTTTGTGGAACACTTTCTCTCATTCATATTTTTTGTTTGCTCTTTGCTGCTTTTAAGATGTATTACTGGAGTCAATCAGGTCCCTTTAGCTGGTCTGAAAAGTAGACTTGATTCATATAACTCCCATTAAGATTTCAAAAAGAAGTGTAAATCAAACTAAATGTAACAATATTGTATAAATCACTGTAATTGACTAACATTGTATCAAATTATGGAACAAAACCATATTTATGTAGGCATTTATGTGTACGTGTGTATGTAATGTGCATTGAAAAAGGAATGCTTGTTAGCATGCACAATGGAGTTTTGTAGACATTTTTGTTTCCAGGTGTGTACATACAGTATTGGTTAACCTTCATGTAATAATCTTCATTGTGTTCCTTTTGGAAATGTGTCCATAAATTAGTTTTGAATGTTGCCTTTATCTCCTACTCATTGTTACGTTCCCACTTGGAGGCTCTTTGTCTACTGACATTCTCATTTTACAAAGTCTTGAAGGCTGCAGTACCACAGGGTGAATCACTCTTGGCCTTAATGGCTTCTGGTGATCTTTCCTGACCAAGATTTTTGCAGTCATTTGTGAGTGTCTGATTAGCTGTTGGCATCATATATTGATGCAGTGTATTTTCTGCAGACGGTATTAGGGGATTATAAATATTGGAACTAATCCTAAAATTATTTAATCAAACTAATAAACAATGCCACCTATTGTTTCAATGGTTTCCAACCATAAATTAATCTTAGCGTCTCTTGTCTTTGTGTCTACCATGTAACTTTCCTCATGTTTCACCTGAATATTCAGTAGTTCTTTGCAAAGTAGGGGCCTACAGAACCATACTACTTTTGTTGGATTAATTAATCGAAGAATCCCAGGCACTCTATTTAGAACAAAAGCTCAAAAAATATTTGCTGTGTCCTGTTCTTATCTGAACTTTTAAAAATAAACACTGTAAACCAATCCACTCTCAATCAGTTTACTGTCATTAGAATATAATATTTCCTAATTGCTATCTGGATGCATCTCTCCAGCAGGGATTAAATATAAATGTAATAAAAGAGCGGTGTTCCTTCGATTGTAAACATTAGTGTGTGTTAACACTATTTTGTAGAGATGTGCAGACTATTATATTGACACTTTAATGCATGTATGGTGTGCTATATACTTTAGGGATATTTTTCATTTTTAACTGCGGAATGAATTATGTATTGGAATAGCTTTGTTTTACTTTCAAAACTTTTGGAATTTCATTGCACTTGTTACAGTTGAATTTGCTAACTTATTTGCCTCAATTGCCTAAAATGTGCTTCAAATCCTGTGGTCAGTAAAGAAAAAAATGAAAAATTCACATGTCATTAAATTTCAAAACAGTTATCACATCTCAGTTGCTATCTTATTCTCAACAAAAAGCCCATGATCAGGTAAACTACCAAATCCATGTGTCATGTGACTGCAATAATACTGTATGTTTCTTGCTGTATAATGTCATGAATAAAGTTGTTCTTGGTTTATCCTTGATTTATCTCTTTTCCTATACTGCTGAAAGAAACGTAGCACTACCAAGGTCTGAAAGGTCTTTAATATCTAATCAAGAATCCTTTCCCACAACCAAACATACCAATACTCATACAGTTTTTTAGTTTAATGCAACTTGATGAATTAAAATACTGGCCTACAACAACGCAAGATATCAATGCCTAGATTTTAAAGAAATGAAGAGAATCAGTTCTTCATTTTATTGAAGAGAATTTCTCAGATAGAGAAGACAATTCTCAATTAAATTTGTAATTGCGGTATACTTCTTGAAACATGTCACGACAATCTATTTTCACATTTAATTTAGCACAAAGGAGGAAAACACCTGATAGTTTTCGATGCAGGGAGTATATTTCTTCTGGAGGAGGGCAAAGCCGGTGATAGACAATAGTGGGAACAAGCTTCTGAATACGTCTTGTAGTATCTTGTCCTCCAAAATCGAAGGCACCTGATTTCTCACTGAATACTTCACCCAAGATTAGCACACCATCGACATGAGCTTCTTCCATAATCTGAGTGACAATTTATGTTTTAAAAATTAAATTTTTGTTGTTGAAATGTTTATAAAACTATACAATATAGGGACTTACCTTAGATTCATATCCAGTTAGGAAGCCCATTTCACGAGATAAAGTCAAAACTTTTTCTCTATCACCATCAGCAGCACCTTTTATCACTTCAATATACTTGTCCATAAACTCTTTTTCATATTCACGAGTAGCTCCAAAGTCCAAGAGTATAAGCTTTATAAAATGAACAGACGTAACACATAACAAGAAGACAAAGAAGCACTTCAGTCAGTTTCTCAACAAAGTTGCATTAACTTACTTGTTTTGTTTGAGGATTATAGAAGAAATTAGCCCAGTTTGGATCTGTCTGCATGTAGCGGAACTCAAAGAGCTCAAGCAAACAAAGATGCATAATATTGCGACAGATTTCTTCACGCACAGGCATGTCCAAATTCACACACTGATCAACGGGGATTCCCTCAATTAATTCAGTTGTAAAAACCTGTTTGGTACACAGATCATCTGGAAAAAGGGGGGAAAATTATTTTGAAAAAGGGCATCAAAAAGAAGAAAAGCATTGAAAAGCGCATTTTAGAAATTACATACCTATGACTTCTGGTATATAGAACTGAGGATAGGGGGCTAAAAGCTCACGAAACTTTTTTGTGCATTCTCGTTCTCTTTCATAATCAACCTCCCAGGACAGTTCCCGCTTTGCCACCTCCACCAGATTATCAATAAATAAACCTAAAAGTAACTTGTCAGTCTTGTTTTCATCAAGAAATTTGTAGGCAAATTATTGGGAGCATACATACATACCTTCTGGGAATATATTGTATAATTTGAGAACAGAAAATAGATTATTGATATCACTTTCGATACTCTCAGCTACTCCAGGGTATTGTATTTTCATTGCAATAAGACGCCCGTCATGCAGTTGTGCTTGGTGAACTTGGCCAATAGAGGCAGCAGCAAAGGGCTGCATCTCAAACATTTTTAATTTATCTCTCCACTCATGTCCCAGTTCTTTTTCTAATACTTTCTGCAAACAATTGAGAAGAAGAGGTATTCAGAGTGAAAGCACAAACAACAAAACATAAGAAAAACTACCTGCATCTGCCTAGCATACTTACTTCTACTTGCCAAACAGGCATAAAGTCTGCAGCCTGCCTAACACGCTCAAAAGCAGCCTGCAGCTGAGGACTTATGACAGAATTATCTTGAATACTCAAAATCTGTCCTATCTTCAAAGCAGCACCTATGAAATTTTTTTGAAATAATGATTGTGGAACTGTTAAACAGGTATTATTATGAGCTATTCTACATACATACCTCTAACTTTACATAGAGTGTCTACAATACGTTGAGTGTTTGCTGGTGTGAGAAACATTGAATCTAAGGTTTCTCCCTCTTTATTGGTATTGGACAAACCAACACCTCGGCGAACAAATTCTGCTGCAGTCCCTACACCCAGACCAGCAAAGAGACTGCCAAAGGATATAACACGAGCAATTTGAGATGAAGGGACTTTTCTTTGCTTTGCTGAGTTGGCAAGCTGCAAAAAATTACAGTGATGTATATTTATTGAATATTCATATTGTAGATTAAAATAATAAAATCAAGTATGATTGAGGTATGATTCAAAAGATAAGATTAGCAAACTTACTGTTTCTTTTAGTTTAGTTCGAGTAGGACGAACTGTTGGTATGATTTTGTGAGTTGTTGTAGTGGATCTGGCCTTTTCTGACGCAGCTGCTGCCAATGAAGAAGCCTTTGCAGTTAGGCTTTGATTCGTCTGATGAACATTGTTTTTTTCTGCTACTGATTGGACTTGAGCCCTTTCACCAGGTACCGTTTGTTTTTCAGTTAAGGGTGGGGAACCATGAGTGGAGATAGAGTCTAGCACAGCCTGTGCTTTAGACTCAAACTTTTCAGCAATTACCTCAGGAGGATTAGGATCTCTTACTTCCAGATGACAAAGATTTGATTCATCAAACATATTGAGTTCACTTAACTCTTGTAGCTCTTCACTAGTCAGATTTCTGGTTTCCTCTCGCACTAGAAAAGTTAATAAGTTTTAAGATTGTGTAACAAGAAATAAATCAATAAAAGAATAAAATGAAATTTCCATACCTGAGGGACTTCCTGCATATGCCGCAAAGGTTCGTATTCCTTCGGTTACCATAGATGTCCTCTCAACAATTTCAGTGAATTTTTTGGAGACATTGCTCTAAATATAGAGAAACATGATCATCAAAGGTCATACTTCCAGCACAGCATAGAGATATGATTGCATCCTTACCTGAGGTGGCGGTGTTTCAGGCCTAAATGACTGCACCACCGTTGAGCCCACTTTTCCTCCCACATTGTTCACAGCATCCCTTACGCTAGAATTGAGCCAAATTTCTTTAACTTGCGATTCTTGGTAACGAACGGCAGCATTTGCAACAGACTGAAGACCTCGCAGCACTCCCAATACATCTTGTGGGATGTTTCGAGCCATTTCGCCAGATCACCTGATAAAAGTTGAAAATAATCATTTCATTTTAATTAGGATACCGGAAAGAACTGCCTGAAGGTGACAAACACAAAAAGGTTAGTTCCCAAGGCATCTTGTAATTACATATTATGGGGAGGATATATTGGAAGGCAATATGGACAGGACAAACTAGCTTACAAATAAAAAAGTAGGTGTGAAAGCTGAGCCACTGATGACTACTGTCACGTTCTAGTTAAAATATATTCACATTAAAAGACTCGGAATCGTTCTATGGTCGCTCGACCTTCGCCGATGGTTAGGTTATATAACTTGTCTGTGAGTGAAAATAGAACCGAATGACGAAATAAAGCTACTCATTTTCGTGCAAATAAATGATGAGATACGGAAACACCATCTTACATAAAAATGCTGTTTGGCTTCAGGATGCAATACAGAGTGTGTTGGCAAGAGAGTGACTTCTGTAGTGCTGTTTGTTTATAATTTGGCTGCAGGCAGACGACATTTTCCACGGCCAGTCTGTGCTGCAATCTGATTGGTCGAAGGCTTCTGCATAGTTGTGGTTGTGAGTAATACGTCACGATCATCTGTTCGTTGTTTTCCTTGTCCTTTGTCCGAGAACTGTCTGTCTTCGAAACGTCTGAATATAGAGAAAGGTTTGTTTGGATGCTGCATTTCACTCTTTGGCTTCGTAAGATATTTGTTGCATGGCCCTCGAGTGCATTATGATACTTAAGTGGAACACCATGGGGAGATGGAAGTTCCCTTTCTTCTCTGTTTGCATGAAAGTTCTTATGATGCCACATCTGCTTTCTTTCATCAATTCCATGGGCATTGATTGCAGACTGTGGCCTTAAAACATTAGAAGAACTCAATTTGCTTGTAGGTTCAGAATCTTGTTGCCTAGGTGATTTTTTGCTTTTTTTAAATCGATGCGTAGACTGAGGTTATTATTCTGTTTATTGACATTTTTTTTGGCAAAACTGCTTTAAGTGTCCTGGAATGCCGTTTCATCCTGTAAAACAGGAAACCAATCTAGTTCTATCATCGGTCTGATTATAATTTGATTTGCGTTACATTTGTCCTTCTCGTGCTCTAATTGAATATTAATTAACTAGGTAGTCTAAGAAACTTACATACACATTTGTGTGAATGCTAGTAGTTTTGAAAACAGTGGAATTTTGAAACGTTCTTGTTCTTGTTGACGTAATTTTTCCACTTATTATTCATTTGTTTTAATCCTTTCCTTTGTGGTTGTTACAGTCCGTCACAATGGGCCGCATCTTCCTTGATCACATTGGTGGATCTCGGCTTTTCTCATGTGCAGCCTGTGACACTATTCTGACCAACAGAAGTGAGCTGATCAGTACAAGGTTTACTGGAGCAACAGGCCGAGCCTTTCTGTTCAACAGAGTTGTCAACCTCAGTTACAGGTAGTTAGTACTACATCTACATTTTCTACATCTTGCTCAGATAAACCTTCTTCAAGGGCTACCAAAACTTTGCTTGCTGAATTGATGCAACACTATATTTTCTTTTTGCAGTGATGTTCAGGATCGTGTAATGCTCACTGGCCGCCACATGGTACGAGATGTATCGTGTAAAAACTGTGATGCCAAACTTGGATGGATCTATGAGTTTGCCACAGAGGATAACCAGCGATACAAGGAGGGCAGGGTCATTCTTGAGCGTGCTCTCGTTACAGAGAGTGACGGTATAGATGAACACATGGGGGATGATTGAGTGCAGGCCAACGGTGGGCCAGCAAATGAGCCTGCCGTTGCTCAACATGTGCAGCCTGTACTGCACGTACAGCCTCAGGTCCCTATCCAGCTAGTACCTGTACCTCACGGATACATGCAAGAAGTTCAAGTACAGCTAGCTGGGGCTGGGGCACCTATCCACAATGTACTAGGTGCTCTGCATGATGTACCTCCTCCCCCTGCACCGTACATCCCTGCAGCTGAGGCTGGAGCTGCACATGATGAGTCAGATGATGACTATGAAGAACCCCAGCCTCCTGTGGGATTTTTGGAATAATGGCAAATGCATAAACAAACATTTTAAAGAGCAGCTGCCTCAAAAAAATTTCATGGTTGCCAGTTGATTGTGTGTGAATTTGACTCCATCTTTAAGAGTACTAGTCTGTTGTGTATATATTAGAGGTTTATGTTCCTTGAAAAGAGTATAGCTGAGAATTCAATCTATACTCTGAAAATCCTGTGAGTCAATGTCACAATCTGCAGTAATGTTTACAGTTTCAATCAAAGGTTAATTTTCTTTTTCTTTTAACAGGATAAAACTTAAGTTGACTATTTTTCAATCAAATTCCTTTGTGTTTCTCCTCAAGCTTTCATTGTTGACTCTCAAATATTGTTAGTTGTGTATTATTTTTAGAGACAAACTGACAGACTACTTGTTAATTACATTTATATTTATATTCCACTCAGGAAATAGGTTTTGTTGTGTTGCTTAAAAAAATAAGAAAAAAAAAACGATGAAAAAATGATAGGAAAGAAGGAAAATTATATATTCTGTTGATAAATTTTGTATATTAGGTCTATTCAAAGAAGCATTTACAGTGTAAAAACATTTGGTTCATTTCAGGGTTTTCTGAAAATGTATTTTCTAGATGTGAAACTTTCAATGAGAAATACACCCATCACTGCCAAAATGAGTTGCCGTTCTCCACTGTAACAAAAAATTGTGATAAAGCTCAAACTTTCCTTTTGTAAGCACACCATAGTGGTGTTTTTTCTCCTTTCAAATGTTTAAGCAAAAAGTCTTAGCCTGCAGGCTCTCAAAATTTCTTAAATTAAACTATGTACTGTATTTGTAAATAATTTTGCTTACAAATGATGGTATTTTTTGTTAATTTAATGAAGATGGGTGTCCATAAATCATTTCAACTGTAAGAAGACTACTTCTTTGTTTAGCTAAAGGATGCTTTGGGAATGAGTGCTTATCTGCCAAAGGAGGAGAATTATGTGCAAATATTCTCGTGTCACATCATTGCTCTCAACAACCATGGCATCCTGCAATAGTGCCTTTTTGTTTTGTTATTATTGTCTTTTAAGATATACAGATAGAAATTACACTTAATTTTGAAATGCTGTCTTTGTCAATTTTATGAAATCCTTGCATTTTGTAATTTCATCTTGAGAAGATTTGGTTGACTTTCTGAAAGGGTGCTTTACATATGAGCTCTTTCCTACCCAAATCTCTTTGTAGATATTTAAATGGCAATAAGCCTCTTATCTGTCAGTTACCTATTGTAGTGTGTAGTAATTCTCTAAATGATGGGAGTGGGTTTTGTGTTCATATATTTTAAAACTCTACATTCAAAGCTCCAGTGTTGTACCCTGACATATGAGAGCTAACAGAATCTTATGCTTGTTAACCTTCTTCTGTAAAGCTGTGATTTTAACAGTTTGAAGGTGAGAAGAGACGTCAAAATAAATTATGGGGCAGTTCAACTCTAATGGTTGCTGGTTCTTTGTTCCTTCTTACCCTGCTGTCTCTGTGTAAATATCTTTAACCACATGTTGCTTCATGTGTTCCTAAATTACTCGATAAATACTTTTCTATACGTGTTCAATCACAAAATAAAATTTTAAGTTTTAACATAGTTGTGTGTCGGCTCATTTGATTTACCCCCACCCACAACTCACCCAGCAAAAAAAATAAAAAAACTAATCAAGTGTGGAATTATGACTGCGCGGTTCGAATGCAATCTCACTAGGCAAAGGGTGGATTCGAGGGAGGGCGCGACGTCATGTTGGCTGTTTTGTGTCCGCGCACGTCCTGGCGCGCCAGCGCCAGTTTGTGAGGAAATGGGGAATAATGTGAGGCGCGATGACGGCAGAGGCGCGACGACTTAGGCCAACTTTCTCCACATATTGCTCGGCATGTGGCACGCGTGACTATGGGGCAGGAGGGCCTTCGCGCTTCGCGTGACGGACGCGTCAATCGGCACCGGCAGGCTGATGGTGGCACCTCGATGGTGGCACCTCGCCCCTCGCCTCGCTCACGCCCGCCAAGTTCGGGAGGGGGCGGCCTATAAAGACAATGCACCCCCGGCGCCGAAACTCAAACTGCCACTCGAGGCAGAGGGCCGCGGACCGCCACGCGACCTCCCCGTCGAGGACCAGGATGGGCGCGGCGACGGCCGTCTTGGTGGCGGTCATCGTGTCGACGGCGAGCCTCGCAGACGCCTGGAAGTGGCGCAAGTGGAACCTGTTCGACGACAACGACGGCGACAGCGTGGTGACGGTGGCCGCGGACGGCAGGGCAGTCTACCCCGTCTACAGGACGTACAGGTGGGCATCCGGGTGGTTCATCGGGAGGGTTACACTCAGGGGGTGCCAGTGATGTTCAGCGCAGTGTTTTTGCAGCGGGTATCGGACTGTGCTGCTGCGGCTGCCGCTACCCGCCTTGCCGGATTTCGGACCGTCAGTGGTGACTCGAGTTCGCCACGTGTACGGCGTGCCGCCCCCGCTGCCGCCCCCGCCGCCGCCTCCGCCACCACCGCCGCCGCCCCCGGCCACTAGATACGGCGCCCCCGCCCCCGCACCGAGCAACGCCGCCGCCACCGCCGCGGCCGTGGCGGCTGCCGTGGCCAGGACCGTCCTGGAGGTACCCGCTTCTTTTCGTCTTCTCAATCTCAATGTCGCTCCTAAAGCCCCGCAGTCGCTGACGCGCTGACTCCATGGACGGCATGTTCCAGGCCCACGGCTTCAGTCGGAGCATCGAGAGTTCCGGACACCACGACGTCGTGCCGCCGAGCGTGCCGCCGACAGGTCGGTTGAATTCAGGCTGAAAACCTTGCCAAAGTTCACACGATGCATCGGACACTCAAGATTTGTTTGGAAATCCAGACAGCCGGGCCGTCTGGAGCGGACTGAGGGACGCGGTGCCTCACGCCGGGGAAGACCACAGGGGCCACGGCCTGTACTGGGAGCGGGGCCTGGGCGGACTGGGCGGCCTGGGCCACGGCGCGTCCTGGAGACGCTGACCATCGCCATCGCCATCGCCGGCCGCGCCATCTGCTCCTGGAGGTCCCCGCTGGAGCAGCGCTATGAGCAATGAACGACAAAAGCCGCCAATAAAGACGCACTGCCAAGACCGTAATCTCTTCTCATTCCAAACAGCTCGTCAATTCTTTAATCCTCTGCCACTTATATAGCAAGGCGCCATTTACTGAACGCGTGTCCTGGAAGGAATCACACACATGCGTAATGTGTGCGTGCGTTAGTGTGTGTGCGTGTGTGATGAGCGATCTGCATTCCCCGTTCATGATGCAAGTGGCGTGCCAAGACGTCCCAGAGGTCCGACAGGCTGCCGCGGCGCGGATCTCCTTAGCGCATCAAACAATGGCATCGATGATAATAACGCAGCGATGCCTACGCAGCGTTTATAAATCTGCGGTCGGGAGACAAGCAGCAGGTGACGAGTCCGAAATAGACGCCCTAAACATCACACACACGCACGCACACACGCGCAAGCTCATCCAGATCGACCAAGGGAAGCCCCTGCCAGACTGACGGTAGGCAACCAGTCGCACAGTCGCGCACTGCGTTCCTACCACCCGTTGCCATTACCATTAAGGGCTAGACCACACCAGGCGTTAAAAAAGCTCCTGGCGCAAATCACTTTCCAGTTCGACGCTCGCCACATTTGCAAACAGGCGCGTATTAAATCGCGACACGTGTAGCCTGTGTAGCCGTTCTGGTTGTCCACTGCAGTGGCAGGCCGTCCTGGAATGTGCGCTATCGGGTCCTGGACTTTGCCGAGGGTGTGGGTGACGCGGGGCGGGGCAAAGCCTTTACTTGATTGTTCGACGGGCGAGCGCGGCGTTGTGCGTCTCTCTCACTCTCCACGAGTCAATCAGGGAGGGCGAGAGAGACCGAGCGAGAGGCGGCCCTCCTCCCACCCATAGTAGCGCTAGGACGGCGGTGCGCGCGCGCAGTTAATGGCGATTGTCTGTCTCTCTCTCTCCGACTCTCCCTCCCCGGATCGGCCTCTCTCTCTCCCTCTCTTTGGCACGTAAACAAACTGGAGCAATACGCGATGTGAATTACATCATTTTAGCGATCTGAGATTTAAGCGACCGTGAAAAAGGATGACGGTGCCGCGTCACCTTTCGGAATCCGTAATTTGGCGTATTAAAAGTGCAAATATGTAAAATATGAGATAAAAATATTTCTGAAGTTTGAAATTCTGAGGAATGACTGCCACTGCCCAAGGCGTTGCCGGTTGCCGCTAATGCAGGTGAAACAGTGGAGTCACGTGCAGCGCGTATGCCTCAGGAGCCCGGCGGCCAACCGCGCCCAACCGAAACAATTCAGAACAATTGGGCATGTTTCTGTTTGTTTCCAAACTGTTCAATTCCGCAACGGCGGGAAATGTCAGATTCGGTCATCGTTCGCTCGCGGCACGCTTTCAGGGCTTTAGCGGTAGCCGACGCGAGAGCGCTTCGGAGGAGTGCGTCGTATGTGCATGTGTGGTGTAGTGTATGCACAGCGCCTTGTCCAGGCGCTTGTCGCCTGCCCATGCGTTTGCTATATAAACGGCCGCCTCCTCCTGGCCAGCATCAGTCGACTTGTGTCTTGTGTTCAGTTCAGCAGAAGCCGACCCCCCTATTCTCTCCAACATGAAGGTCCTGGTGAGTACCCACCTGGTGCAGTTCGGGGACGGTGCCGGCGACGACGGCATCCTGGTCAAACCGGCACCGCTTGCCCCCGCAGCTCGTGGCTGCTCGTGGAGGTGCTCGTGGAGGTGCTCGTGGAGATGGTCGTGGACGGCGAGTGGGTCCGAGGGTTCCTGTTCCTCCGTGTCCTGAGAGCCTCCGTCTGCCCTGCCCGCAGGTTGCCGTCCTCCTCGTGGCGCTGGTCGCCCCCGCGCTGTCCGCCCCCGCCCCCGAGCCCGTGGCGCGCCCCGGCGGCGGCCTGGTGCTGCTGGGCAACCCCGGCCTGGTGTCCGCCGTGCCCGCCCAGACCGTGCTCGTCGGCCCCGGCGGCGGCATCGTCAGCACCTCCGGCCTGGTGCCCGTCTCCACCCTGGGACACCCCGGCCTCATCAGCAGCCACGGCCTCGTCTCCCCGCTGGTCCTCGCCTAGAGCACCTCGCCGGCACCACGCCGTCAGCCCTCCGCTGCCCGGAGCGACAGCTCCGATCAGGACTTCACTGCCCTCTTGACCGTCCTCTCGTCATGAACCAAAACAACTATCTTGCATTTTGAATTGAAAAAGCAGAAAAAAATAAAAGAGATTTTTCCGGACTTGAGCTTGTTTTGACGTAATCCTGCCTTGACTGATAACTTGAAAATGTGGTGTGGCCAAATGAAGAAAACGTTGAGCAGCCCAGATCGTTTCAGACACAATCTCGAGCTTTAGAAGGGTCCGATCCAACATGACCAATACTAAGAACAAAGTACCAGTAAAGCACTATGCGTGAAAAAAAAAAAACCTTAGTGATTTTTATAGAAACATGAGTGGACTTACAGGGAGTTTGGTTCCACGAGATGAGATGGAACTATTGAACATGCAGTCCAATTACAAGCCCCTTCAGCTGATGGGGCTGGGTGACGCCTCAGGCGGATCATGCACTGCAGGAAATAACCACAACAAAAGTACACAAATTTCTGGCAAATTTTTTATCAGGAATTTTGTGTACTAGGGATGAAAATGCCCGGAAAGTTTCCGGAAACATTGGAAAAAAACAGTGTTTTTTTCCGTTTTTTTCCCTGGCCTCGGAAAAATTGGAAAGATTCAGCCTGAAAAGTAGGCAAAAAGTCGGGCATTTCGCCTGAAAGTAGGCTAAAAGCATACCTTTAACCCTACTGTGAACACGATTCTCAGTGCACTCAAACTACTTATACCCTGTTATGACTCCTTCTCGTGCGTTTTTTGAGCTTGCTGTTGTTAATCTCGGGTTGTCAGTATAGGTAAAGTTGTAAAAAAGCACAAAAGTGGTAGGTTTCATGTTCATAGTGCTTAAAAACTAATTTTTCCTATTTTTCCTTTTTTTCCAAATTTTCTGGGTTTTTTTCCAACTTTTCCGGTTTTTTTCCGACCCTTTGAAAGTTTCCGGAAAATTTGCATCTCTATTGTGTACTTTTCAAGTACAACAATTGTTGTACAAAGTACAATGGAACCGGCATGACGAGTGCTGTGCAGTCCAGGGCTCGTTGTGGTTTGTACAATTCTCGTTGTACATTCTACAATCCCTGTTGTACTTTTATTGTACAGTTTTTGTTGTACTTTTGTTGTACTATCCACACTTTTTCTTGCAGTGTGCCTGTCTTTAAACCCCGGTTAGCCTCCCAGATGACGTGGGTCACTGTGGTCTAGAGCGTGCGTACGCCGATTTCAAATTCCAAAATCCGGTGTTCGAATCCCGTCTTCTTATTTGCAGTTTTCGTCAGGCTCTGTGTGCGGATCCAGCCCAAAATTTACAATTTTTATTTTGACCCCCAGTTTGAGAACCGCTATTATTTCTTTGTGCATCGTTTCGATAAGGCTAAGGTACAATGAGACCATTTTCTGCAACTTTTTCCATGCCATTTTATTTGCGCCAATCGAGCATCACAACCACCATGTCGTCCTGACTACCAGATGCCGCCGTGGCCGAGGCCCAGTTCGTTGACGGCCACCACTCCGCCGAGGCCGTGGCCGCCGACGATGGTGCCGGCGGGGCCGGCGACCACCGCGTTGCCCCAGGGGGCGGCGGAAACGATGCCGCCGTGCAGGGCGGGGGCGGCCACCACCACGGCGGGCGACGGGTGGGTCTGCACCAGGCTGGTGCGGCTGATGGTGGTGGGGCCGGCCACGACCACGCCGCCCAGGCCGAGGAGGCCGCTGGGGGCGGACAGGGTGGCCGGCAGCACCACGGCGAGCACGGCGACGGCAAACTGCAAAACGCCGACGAGTACAGTGGCTGCCGAAAGCGAGAGCGGGTCACGGCGGGCGGCGACGTTGTACTTACCAGGACCTTCATGATGCTGGGTGAGTGTGGTGATGCACGCTTGGAGTACGCAGGCACAGTGCTCCCGGCGTCGCAGCACGCCCGTTTTATACGGACACTGTGGACGGCCTTCTGTCGGCGTGTGCGTGCGTGCGTGTGCGTGTGTGACGCGGCGGAGAGGGTGGGTGTGAGGGGGGCGGGGGCGCCAACGGTTTGCGCCGATAACTTCATTCATAATACAGTCTGGTCGGTTCGTGTTCCCGGAGCGGTTCTTTCTTTCTTTCTCTCCGCCTCTCGCCGAGTACTGCCGTTCCTTCTTCGTACTGTACTCCGTGGTCCGCGTCTGTCCCAGTCTGTCCCAGCCCCGGGCGTCTTGGCTTGGCGCCTGCAATCCACCCCCGCGTCCCCGCAGGGCTGCACCCATAACATAAAAAAAGTAAAACCAAAGAAATTGTGACTACATTTTTTGGGCGTGTTAGTCCAAAAAGATGAAGGTTGACCAACCTCTCCCACCGGGGAAATTATTTTTGCTTGAACTTTGACGCTCGGCCGCGCTCGGTCCACATCAGGTTGACTGAAATCACTCATACGCCCGTCAACACTCACTACCTGGGCACAGCCTGCGCGAGGCGGAGAGCGCGAGGATCAAGAAAGGGAGAGTGACGGTGTGCGAGAGAGACGGCTGGGAGAGAATGATAGGACTCGCGAGCGCAAGGCGCAAGGCCGCCGTCGTGATACCGGCAGGCCGGCAGGCCGGCAGGGCGATCTGGAGGGGTGTGGCCAGTGTGGCCAGCGGCCGGCCGTGTGGCGGGGCAGGCGGGGCTTGGGACTCGAGGCCTGAGCGGCCAGCGGGACTCTAGCGACTCTAGGAAGTCGCGTCGCCCTCCATCTGGCCGCTCCCATTAGCATCGGCGACGTGCACCCAGAGCCGGGATCGGGGTGGGCTTTAGTGGGCTTCGCGCTTTTCCGCCAAACCCACTAGAAGCCCGACCCACGTAGAGCGCACCCGCTTAGAGCCCGACCCACGAAAAGCCCACTCCGAACGACAAAGCCCACGTAGAGCCCACGTTCCGTAGCCCGTTCGGCTGCTGCCGTCGCCCGCCCCGCCTCTCCCCTCGCCTGTGCCTGTCGCAACTCGTCCCGACAGGTGCTGCCACCTAGCGGACAGAGGCTGACCCTAGAGACGCCTAGTGGGCTTGAGAAGCCCACTACGGCTCATGGGCTCTTAGTGGGCCTGGGAAGCCCACATGGGCTCGCTGAGCCAAGCCCACTAGAGCCCACCCCGATCCCGGCTCTGCGTGCACCGCCTTTGTGCCGCCCACCACGCCAAGCCGGCCGCCAGCGAGGCGCCTGTGAGGTAGGGTGCGTCGATATGCACGACTTTTCAGATGCAGCTTTTGGGTAGCACTCAAAAGTTTCGTTTTTTTGTGCTGATTCCATAAATGACCTCGATTTTGCGATAGGACAAAGCCTTCATGACCCTACCGGGCGTTTTAAGTCAAAAAGCGGAGTTTTTGTATTTTTTCTTGTATTTTGGTTCCGCATTCCATCCCAAACTGTCGGGGCGGCTGTTGCACGGTCGGATGGCCACCGCCTACACTAAATACAAGTTTTGCAGCTTGGCAGGACCACCGGACACCTCACGTGCGTGTCCCAAACCTCAATTTTCACCCTTTTTTTACAACAATTTTTCATTTTTTTCCCTTTATTTCAGCTTTTATCGAGGATTGTACCGACCCAGTCGGTCTATACCATGACCACAGGTTGTATAAAACAGTGTAGGGGTGCATAGAACGCAAGGCAGCCCCCGGACCGGGGCTGTGTAGGGAGGGGGAGTAGGGAGGGAGGGAAGGCGGAGAAAACAAATCCCCAAAATCGGCCCAAATCAGCTGTTTTGCCCTGTTTTGCCTGTTGGTAAATACTGTATTGCGGTGCAGCTAGCTTGGCAAGTGTTTCTTCCCCTTGCCTACCCAGGACTCACCACGAGCGCGTCCGCTACGAGTGGATACGCGCAGGAAGATGCCACAGCACCGCCGATCGGAGCGCCCCCAGCGGCAGTGGTGGGGACTGGCGCGGGGCACCGTGAGACGCGAAATTTCAAACTGGCCCGGGGAAGGGAAAACACCGCTTGAAAAAGGAGCAAACTAGGGTCAGTTGGGGTAAGTATGGGACACGGGGTAAAAATGGGACAGCTGATCCTTAGTCAAGATTTGACATTTTTGAACGCACTACATACCAAATGTGATGTTTTTATTGAGAAAATAATTTTTGCTACGGCACAAGTTCTAAAATCTCGATTCTTGACTAAAAATCAGCTGTCCCATTTTTACCCCGTGTCCCATAATTACCCCAACTGACCCTAATTGAGTTGGCAGAACAAGCAAGTAGCAAAACAAATGTAAGGGAAAAGCGCGCGATTATCGGTCATTTCTGTTCTGTCGGTCAACCTGTGAAGATGTACTCAAAGGAGGCATGTTCACTGTGAGTAACAACACTGGCTGCCTTAGACTACTTTGATCATTTCTCTATAAAAAATTTCTTGTCTGGCCTCCGGTGTCCAGCTACATATGAACACAAGAAAACCTTGTACAGGCACATGCGCTCCAGACATGGTCTGGATCCAACAGAGGCAAGCAGTGAGCCTAAGAAGGGAGCGACTTGTTACGAGTGTGACAAAGTATGTATAGTCTCATGTACATGTGAAAACCGCCTCATCGGCTTAAACATCTGTAAACATCTTCACACGGTCTATTACAAATTAAAATCACAAACACCAATCAACGTAACTATTGAAGAAGCTCGGTTATGTCCGCACAAATATTTTTTCCACTTTTTCCGTTCGGACCCACCCACATAGTCTTTCGTCCGCCAGGGGCGGCACAGTCTCACGGTGCCCCGCGCCAGTCCCCACCACTGCCGCTGGTCCGCTGTTCGTGGTGAGTCCTGCGTAGGCAAGGGGAAGAAACACTTGCCAAGCTAGCTGCACCGCAATACAGTATTTACCAACAGGCAAAACAGGGCAAAACAGCTGATTTGGGCCGATTTTGGGCATTTGTTTTCTCCGCCTTCCCTCCCTCCCTACTCCCCCTCCCTACACAGCCCCGGTCCGGTGGCTGCCTTGCGTTCTATGCACCCCTGCACTGTTTTATACAACCTCTGGTCATGGTATAGACTGACTGGGTCGGTACAATCCTCGATAAAAGCTGAAAAAAAGGGAAAAAAATGAAAAATTGTTGTAAAAAAAGGGTGAAAATTGAGGTTTGGGACACACACGTGAGGTGTCCGGTGGTCCTGCCAAGCTGCAAAACTTGTATTTAGTGTAGGCGGTGGCCATCCGACCGTGCAACAGCCGCCCCGACAGTTTGGGATGGAATGCGGAACCAAAAAACAAGAAAAAATACAAAAACTCCGCTTTTTGACATAAAACGCCCGGTAGGGTCATGTAGGCTTTGTCCTATCGCAAAACCGAGGTCATTTATGGAATCAGCACAAAAAAACCAAACTTTTGAGTGCTACCCAAAAGCTGCATCTGAAAAGTCGTGCATATCGACGCACCCTACTGTGAGGTAGGCAGCCGGCCGCCTGCCAACACTGGGTAGGCAGCCCGCCGCGCCGCCGAGCGTCGCCGCCCGCCCGTTGCCTACGCGGCAGGCGCTCGCCCGCCGCGCTCCGCCCGCACCGCTCCGCACAGTGGGCCAGAAACCGGCGGAGGCGGCCAAAATTCTTGACGCGTTTTGAGCTCCAGAGTCGCTAAATAGGACTCGAATCAAACGTGTGACCCCACCAATGGCTCGCTCTCCGAACGAGGAATCCATTGGTGGGGTCACACGTTCGGTTCGGGTCCTGTGTTGTGACTCTGGAGCTCAAAACGCGTCTAGAGTTTTGGCCGCCTCCACCGGCCTTCTGGCCCACTGTGCTCCGTGACGCAACGCCACGCCACACCTGACGGACCTGCCGCGCCGTGCCGCGCCGTGCCGCGCTCACTGTCAAGGACGGGACGGGGTGCTGCAGCCTGCAGCCGGGCACCGCGAAGGCGATGCAGCGCCCCAGCGCCATGGCGGCGCCGAAGCCCAGTCCGTCAAGTACCGTACTGCGCGTCACGGCGTCACGGCGCGGCGTGTCACGGTCACGGTCGTGACGTGGGCGTGACGCGGAAGCGCGGCGGACCGCCAGCCGCCCCGAGGGAGAAGACGAGGAGATGCGGAGCGGAGCGCCGAGCCATAGGCGGCGGAGGCTGACCCGGAGGAACCCGGCAGCGCCTCGCCTCGCATCTCCACACGCACGCACACGCACCGAGATACGCACAAAGGAAAATGGTGCGGCCCGAGTACTCGCGCGACGACTGAACCAAATTTTTTCGAGCGCGTCGCGCGGCCGTCACCGAGTGAGTCATTCTTCGGACGCACGTGGCGCAGCGGTCCGTTTTCCGCGGACGCCGAGTCTCCGACGCGCTGAACGGAAAGTCCTTCAGGTGACAGAGGCGGCACGCCCAGGCAGCCAGCCCAGGCTGGCAGACAGCGAGCGCCGTCATTATCCTGCAAACCGCCTCATCTGGTTGCGGCGACAAAAGAGCGGCCCGTTGCAGTGGGCTGCAGTGGGCTCACTTCGCGCTGTCTCTCTCGCACTGGCGGGGCGCCCGGCGGGAGGCGCGCGAGAGTGAGAGAGACAGAGCGACCGGCCATCAGTATCAATCTAATTGACAGCCCCGCGTGTAATGGCGTCGCGTCGCCGCGTTACAGTGGCGTCGCATTCGCTTTCCGCCGCGGAGACCGAGTCGGCGGGACGCGCGGAACGGCCGGAAAAGCGACATTTATTCGACTATCATCGGGGATGAGTACTGCTCCGTGGGGCAGAAGACCGGTGGAGGCGGTCAAAACTCAAGACGCGTTTTGAGCTCCAGAGTCGCTAAACAGGACTCGAACCGAACGTGTGACCCCACCAATGGATTCCTCGTTCGGAGAGCAATCCATTGGTGGGGTCACACGTTTGGTTCGAGTCTCGTTTAGCGACTCTGGAGCTCAAAACGCGTCCGGCATTCAGACCGCCTCCACCCGTCTTCTGGCCCACGGTGCACTGCTCCTA